GTTCCCCTCCGCCATGGCCCTCAACAAGTCCATGCACGCTCGCAACCGGTACAAGGACAAGCCTCCCGACTTCGCTTACCTGGCCGGCAAGTACCCCGAGTTCCAGCAGCACGTACAGACCACCCTCACCGGCAGGGTGAGGTAGGGCCCGTCGGCGGGAGGGCCGGGCCGGGCCGGGCCGGGGCCTGGGGCTGTGGAGCGGCTCCTGAGGGCCGTGTCCGTCCCGGGGGGGTGGCGAGGGAGAGGGCGCTGGCCCCCCTAACCGCTGCTTCTACCTTTTCAGCCTGAATTTCAAGGACCCTGAGGCGGTGAGAGCTCTGACGTGTACCCTCCTGAAGGAGGATTTTGGGCTTACGATTGACATCCCCGTGGAAAGGCTTATTCCTACCGTTCCCTTGAGGCTGAACTACATCCACTGGGTAGAGGATCTCATTGGTCACCAGGATGCTGACAAGCAAGTCCTTAGGCGAGGCATTGACATAGGTACCTGGGAAAACGAAATGTTGAATTCGCTATTTACCGTCAGTGGAACTAGCCGATAAAACCTGTTATGCGCCCATAGAGAAATGGGAAGTCCGAGAGGCAAAAATCTGAAACGGGCAATCTGACTCCACTGGTATTTCGTTCGGCTTCTTGATGGGTCAGGTTTCTCTGCACAAACACAAGAATGGCCATAGCGGGCAATTATTTGGCTTTGCGTGGCCTTGAACTCTCTTGAGTGCATCTCTGTGTGGTGTACAAAAATTATGCTGCTAGTAACGCAGGCAAAAATGTCATTCTACAGGAATTAAAAAAAAAAGATGGCATTTCTTCTTAGTCTTCTAACTAGTGAATTATATTAGCAATCTGCTAATTTTGCACAGGAGAGTTTGTGAGTTGCATAACAATATTTTCTAGTGTTCCTTTTAATAAAATTTCTGTGCTTTCAGATGTATTTGACAGATGAATGATCTGTCTTTTTTAAACTTTGTTCTTTTTTTTGTTGTTTTTAATGCAGCTATTTGCATGAACTATATTGTAAAAAAAAAAAGCTTAACTAGAAACTGAGACAAATATTGCAAATCTGTCTTTTGGTTGTAGATGGTCAAAGACTTCCTGTATGTTGTTGAAAACAAAATATTTTTTTAAACGGGACTGAGCATCCACAGATGGATGATACTGATACGAGCCTAGGAGCATCGCAGCTTGCTCAGTTTCAGTATCCAGGTTATTGGATGATATCTGGGCAATATGTGGATTAAGTAGTAGATTGAAGTAAATGGTTATTCAGTAAAGATGTGAATTTATAAGGTGTACACTGATGCACATAATTTGGTGTTCATTAGAAATAAAAAAAAAGGCAGGCTCTGTAGGAGCAAGAAACTATATTTGACACAGATAAAAAAATTGGTTTGGATTCCAAATTTTTGGTGATTCTATATGAATTACTTAAAAGGCACCTGCAATGATACATTTTAATTTAGTTCACATCTTTTTAATTTTTTGTCAATAGAATCTTCCTTTACAATTTCAAAGGCTTGTTTTTGAAGATTTTTTTGTGTTGAAGTACTCATAGTGAAATAGAGACACGCTGGAATTTCCTTTCTAACTTGTGTTTTAATGCTTAAAACTTTTAGTTTTAAGATGTTAAAATGTTAATTATTGTCTTCAAAGCTTGGGTTCAGTAGTCTCAGTTACCATGCCAGTTTTTTCATTACTGTTTTCTTGGTGTTCACTAGCATGATTTTTTTTTTTTTTTTTTTTGTAATGGAATTTTTGTTCTCCTGAAATTTACTGACTTGTATTTTTAGCTGGATTTGTGATGGATACAAGGGTTATATCATTAAGTAGTGTGCACACAGCTGCTTTCCTTTCATGACTTTTAACCTTGTTAGCCAGCTTCTATGTATTTGATATTAGGTTGCATTTTCAAAAACAGTTTCTGTGAACTTTGTCACGGTAGGTGTCTAGGTAGAAGAGACAGATCCTTTAAGTCCTCCAAATATTGAAAAAAACCTTCAGTTTGAGTTGGCAGTGAACACTGATGTTCCAACTCTGGGAAAGCAGTAAGTCATCCAAGAGGAACGTTAACAGGAGTGCTGGAAATAACTGCATGTTTTTGTGTACTGACAGACATTGTTATTTATGTTTCAATAAGTCAGTATAACAGTAGACTCTTGATATATCTCTGAACTCAAGTTTTGTGGTGGTGAGATACCATTCCCTTTTCTTGTACCCATTCCCTATAATCCTAAATTTGACTGTCATTGGTAATTCGATCATCTAGATATTGCATAATTACGAGAAGGAATTATTTCGTGCTAGCAGGTATTTCTCTTTGTTACCAAGTTGTCGTTTATATACTAGATGTGACGTCACATGGTATGGAATACCCCTTTGGCCAGTTTGGGTCAGCTGTCCTGGCTGTGTCCCCTCCCAGCTTCTTGTGCCCCTCCAGCCTTCTTGCTGGCTGGGCATGAGAAGCTTAAAAATCCTTGACTTAGTATAAACACTACTTAGCAACAACTGAAAACATCAGTGTTATCAACATTCTTCTCATACCTAACTCAAAAACATAGCACTATACCAGCTACTATGAAGACAATTAACTTTATCCCAGCTGAAACCAGGACACAAGCTTTTATCTGTCTGGTGATCTTTTTAGATATCCTAACTGGCACCTCTGTTTCTCTCATTGTTTTGGGCATTGGGGCAAGACAGTGTGATGGAACAGATTTTTTTTTTTTTTGGTGGTAGATAATAGAGAAACGCAGAAGAAAAACATATTTGTGATAGGGGTTTTCATGGTAGAACCAGAATATATTTGACTTTCACTGTATAAATTAATCACTGTTGTATAGGAAAAAAAATAAAGTTCACTAAAGAACTGAGTAGTAAATGATCAGTAATCAATGTTTTTTTGAAGTTAGTTCTTTTTGTTGTGAAAAGTACATAGTTAACAGCCACACTGCATATAACACCAGAGACTTGTTTTGCCTTTCTCATGGCTTTTCACTTCTGCAGGGACAGGGGCATCTTGCATATACCCATTACTTGGAGCAACTTTGAATGGCTGGTATTTTCTTGCAACAGAAGTGGATGATATGTGCTTCAATTATGCCAAGAAGAATGTGGAACAAAATAACTTGTCTGATCTTATAAAAGGTATGATGTAATAAGGTATTTAGTAGCATACAAATGTTGTGGTGTATTTCTGCCATGTCCAGTGGCATATCAGAATCCGTATTCCTGCCAAATACATGCTCAATTGTTCTTATTGAAGCAGATTGTCTATTAAGGTCTGCTTATGCTTAAGCTGGGAAGTCACAGCTTCTGTAGAATGGGATGTGTGGGTAGAGAACTACTCATCCTTACAAAAATCTGAAAGTTAAACTTCACCCTGGGGTGTTTTCCTCTCTCCATATTTTTTTGTCTGTTGCTGAAGTATTTCTTAAGAGTTTGTGCTGTTTCTGCTGTTAGGAGACCTGGTGTGCTCCCCTCAGATAATTTGCATGACACTGCCATATATTCGCATCTTGTACAGAGACAGTCCATCCTAATTTCTGAGTTAGGTCCTAACAGTGCCTGTGGCAGTAGCAGTATGCCAGACTTGGTCTGTAGATGACCTTGGAAAATTTTCTGCGGCAATTCAGTACACTAAAAAGCAGGTCTGTTATTCAGCTCTGAAATAAAATCTTCACTTCTGCTGGATTTTGGAAGTACCCTTTTTACCAAAACGTTGTCGTCTTGGTCTGTCCTCCTTGTCAGTCTTGAAGATCCAAAACTTGATGTGGAGAACAATGACAATTTTCTGTTACTACTGCCATCGTAGGAGTTTTAGTGCTGTGGTGGTGTTTCACTATACTGGAAAAACCTCTGGCAAAGGAAAGTGCCTCATGTGAAGCTGTAGTGCCAAAGGTGATAAGCTGGAGTAAATGACTGATTGCTGGTGGGTAGAGCCACGGGCAAGGGATTACCACTGGTGGTACCCATAGCCAGATGCTGCCTGGGAATGATCCACCCTGCCACTTTTTAACTCCTGGACCTGAATTGTTTAGCTAGAGCTGAGTATACTACTGTAGCTAGTAACTTGGTTAGCAAGGCATTTTGGAGTCGGATTAGACATCTTCCTGTAATTCTGGTTTAAAAAAAAAAAACAAACCAACAAAAACAACGCAGAATTTTTGTCGTGTTCTAGGAGTCTCTCTTGAAATTTTTCCCAAATAGCTTCATTTGGAGATCGTGTTAGAATATAGCCTTTGTTCTTCTAACTTCAATGGAAAAAAAAAAAATTCAATGATAGTAAAAACAGCAGTAATGCAGGGATGATTATTAATTGCATCATAGCTTCTTTTTGCCCAGAGGAAAAAAAAGCTATGTTTTTTGGCTGAAAGTGAAATACTGCTTGCTGTAACTTTCTTCCAAAGGGAATCTCTTCTATATGTGCAAAACAGAAACTGATAAACCTGGGCATTGATGTAAATACTAAAAAAAATTACATGGTGTTCTGAGTTGTGTATCTATTTTACTGGAATGGTATGATGGCCAGAATTTATCTGCTGGTATTTAAAAAAAAACTAAAAAAAAATCAGTACCCTGTATGTAATGGTACATACCATTATAACAAGGTATTATTCTTGTTACATATAACCTGAACTTTGGTAATTGCCTGCTATCCTAACAATTTTGTATTCTTAAGGTGGTGATAAACTGTAGTAGTAAATGTTAGGAAGAGAGGCATGCCTTCTGCCTCCATTCTAAATATCTTTGTTCTATGTGCGTTATCCGTGAGTTGCAGGACTGGTAAAGTCTGCAAGAAGTCCTGCTTGTAATCTTTATACATGCTTTAATTGGACTTCATCCATATTTAAATTCCTGCTCCTTGGGCTGGAGTTCCTGTGGTCTTCAGAAGATGTGTGGCAGGACTTGACCACAATTTCCAAGGGAATTATATAGCCTTTGGGGAAAGCCAGTGGAGATCTATGTGGGATGTTTGCCTTCATCCTTGTGATGGGTAATAATAAGTTGGTGGACCCAAGTAAGCAGAAGATTTGTCCAGACAGGAAACTCTAATATTTTTCTTTTGTTGTGATTCTTCTAAGTCATGTAAGACTACAGTTCCTGTGCAGGATGCATAGTATTACTAACACAGTAATTTTGGTTTATTATAAGATTAGATTTGAAGCTGATCTTGGTGCTGTGTAACTTCAGTGAAGACAGTCTCTCTCTTTCTTAGCTTTACACTCTAGAAAGACCAAACAGTACATTTCTTTGAGAATTCTAGAATTCTCTATCTTAAAAAAGCTGTTTAGACTGGGATTTATTTTATCTCTGAGGAGCCTATGGGGTGATTAATTGACACTTGTATTAATTTTTGGAAGGGCTTAAAGGGAATTTGTAGTTGCATCAGAGAACTCAGTATAACTCAAACAGTTACTATTGTTTTAAACAGACTCATGTAATTTTACTACTGTGTATAAACACACAAGCTGTTTGTATGCTAATCCTTAACCTGAAGTCTTTATTTGCACGCTGATGTTTGTTACATTTTTTTTGTAGAAAATACTGTTTAGAAAGTATAGTTTTTATACAATATATTGTTTCAAGAAACACTGAAATATAAATGGCATGCTAGATAAAATACAAAGTTCCTTATTGACCAAATTCCTGTTTTCTGTTAGTGGTGAAGGTACCACAGAAGACTCTTCTAATGGATGCATTGAAAGAAGAATCTGAGATTGTTTATGATTTCTGCATGTGCAACCCCCCCTTTTTTGCCAACCAGTTGGAAGCGAAGGTAAGCTAACAAACTAAATGTATGTACTTCAGTGTTCAGTGAGTGGGAGGAGAGCAATAATGTAACCACTTCCCTTGGGAAAGGTGGAATGGAAAATCCCAAATAGTTATGAAACAGCATTTAAGTCTTCTCTATCCCCACCCACTGCCCCAAAGGAGTTTTGAAAGACTTAACTGTTACCCTTCCTAAAGTGGAGGATGACCTGTAGAATTTTTTCACAAGTTCTTACTGTCTTAGAGAATTAGTTTGGAAAGTAGACAGCTAGTAAATCTGAATTCAAGTGCCCGTTGCATAACAGTGGTACAGAGGAATTGGTTTCTGGCATTGTGCCTGTCTGTATTTTTCATTTCCTTAGCGATTTAAGCAATATCATATAGCTCGGAACAGTTCTTGGCAATACCCACTGAATATAGTCAGAAACTTAACTCTATAATATGGGGCAGTGGAAAAAAGATTTAAGTGTTGAAATTAAATTAAACACTATAGATTGTAATTGTGTAGATGCATGTAACCAGCATGTCTTACCTTGTATTTCATATTGGGAGGATACTGTTGTGTGACAAGTAACTTACCTAGGTTTGAGATTGTAGAGTATTCACTGTTAATGTTTGTTTTGAATGTATCTTTGTCTATTATCTGTGGTTCTGATGAGGGGAGGATAACTACAGGTGGTGACACTTGCTACCCACTAAAGACTGAGGCAGGAAGCAGTGTACAAAGTGGCCTAACATATTAAATGTTCATCTCAAATGCTCTTTTTTTATCCAGGGAGTAAATTCTCGAAATCCACGGCGTCCCCCTCCGAGCTCTGTAAATACAGGAGGGATCACAGAAATCATGGCTGAGGGCGGAGAGCTAGAATTTGTCAAAAGAATTATTCATGACAGTCTACAACTTAAAAAGAGGTTAAGGTAAGTGCTTTGTTGCGGTTAAAAAACGCACACCTTTTGCCTGATGCTTTGGCAGAAATCACATGACAGTGATATTTTAAGTAAGGAATGTAGCTGTGGTCTAGTGATACCCGTTTGGTTTGTTTAATGATACATACACATCAGTGATTAGTCTCAGTTTATGTGAAATTAGTTGTTCTTGAGCATCAATTACAACTCATCGTTTGAGGTATTTAAAGGCAGAAGGCAAAAAAAGCCAGTAACAGTGACACTTGTAGCTTGCAGCTAAATTAGCACGCGTACTTGCTAAAGACAGTCAAGGTTGAGTCTTCAGGGCTTCTGGGATGGGGAAGGATTTATGACATTGCCTAGTTATCTATTCATTACCTAAAAGTTTCTATCTTTTCCTGGCTGAATTTTGGTAACTTGCAGCTTTGCCTACTAAAGGGCACTGTTGTACTGAATGCTATCTTGGGTGAACATAAGCCACAATAAAAACCATAGTGAGACCTTCTTTTGAACAGATGGCACATCTTCAGTTTTTTGACTATCAGACTTTCTCTCTCTCAGTGTTATATGTTATTCCTCTAGCTCTTCTGGAAGATTCCTTCAGGTTTTTTTTTTAATATGCCTCTAAAATACAGCTGCCAAAATTTTATATGTTACCATGGCTTCATCAGTCTCCTAAGCAAAGGAAGTACAGCCTGTGTTTTATACATTCAAGAAGTGTTTTGGTTTTGTTTTTTTAGACACTTCTAGGCAGACCATTGCATTAGAATCTTTGTCTATGTAATACCAAAATTTTTTTTTAGAATGTTTGTTTTCTAATAATGGGCCTGAAAAAATGAAGAATATATTTAGGTTTTGGAAAAACAAGACACAGTAAGACTGCATTTGGCTCTGTTAGAAGTGCTTTTTTCTGTCTTGTAGTGCTTTGAAGGAAAAAAAGGTTGAGAAGGTTTGCAGAGGTTGCAAACGTTTTGCAAACCTTGAAATGGGGGTGGTCTTGTTTGTTTTTTTAATGTCCTTCCTTTCTCTGTCACCCACTAAATCTTACAAAATATAAAAAGGGGATAGATAGTATGGCAGAGTGATAAAATAGAGGTTTTGATGTTCAGAAGTGGTTACAAGCCAGAAGAATTAAACTCATGAGAATTTTTAGCAATCTTATTTGTGCCAGCAAGGACAGTGGGAAATGACTGCTGATCCTGTCAAAGTTTGTAGGTAGAATGTTATTTTAGGCTAGTTGATGTAGACAAGCTTTTAGGTGTGTATGCTCTTACGCGTGTCTAAAATGTAGTGATTTTTCAAAACTAAATATAAACTGAAACAGTTCTTCTGAGTTTAGTCAGTGATAACAATGGGTGAGGGGAGGCAGGTCAGAGAGGAAGTGATGGTGTAACATATATACATATTTTAAATGTTCTTTCAGTGTAGCTGGATGTTTTTACGCTTTGTACGTGCTCTTTCTCATACGTAGTGGTTTTTTTCCACCAGTGTGATTTTCACAGGAGCATGTGGTGTACTGTGTAAAATACTGTGATCTGGAAAGCACATGTATACAGTTGAGGACTTAATTGGCCCTGTAAGGTGGAGGCAGGGGATGCATCTGTGATGACTTCTGGAAACGCAATAGCAGCATGGTTTCTAGTTCCATCTGGTGTGTGTACATCCAGGGGAAACTTGCTTTTCATAAGTTGCTGTTTGACAACATTGAAAGGAGTGGCAAATGTGGTAGAGAACTGGCTGATGTCACTCTCAAGGCAAGCAGTCTTTGCCTTGAAAAGGTGGTGTGGAATTATGAGAAAGGCATCATTCCTGTATTGCCCCTCTTGGCAACACCACCCCTCTAGCAAAGAAGAGGGTATCTCTTGATCTGATAAATTGATAGTGCAGGGCATAGAACATACTCACATGCTAACTGTGTATGCTGTTAGGAAAAATAAGCACTGTGTGTTTGGATGGTAGGGATGGTTCGGTTCGTGGTTTTGAATAAACTACCTTGGAGAATCTGTTAAAGAAAGAACAGTTTACTTAAAATACTGTTTCCTATTTTGTTAGAGATAAGGTTTGGCAACTCTACCAAAGGGCATGAGCAATGAACTGTTAGTAGATAGAGACTCCCTTGGGCCAGGAGATGATTTTGTTTATTTACCCCCATCCTCACTTCAGCTAGGAGTTGCAAGTTCAATATTTTATAATTTTGGGAAAGATGTGTGTTTAAGTTTTGCTAGAAATTTTGGGGTTTAATTTAAGTATTGCTACATGAAATTCTGTATATTGCATTATGCAGGAAGTAATTTTAAATAATTGTCCCTTAATACCCCTGATCCTTTTTTTTTTTTTTTTTTTTTTTTTGTTTACAGTGTATTTAATTTGCGTATGTGAGAAATTTAAACTGCTTGCCTTCAAGTTAGATGCATAGTCTTGAGGAAACTGTCCCTTGATAACCGGGAACTCCAATTTTCATTCTTTACTACGTTATATTTACGATTAACCTTTTTGGATCCAGTCACCAAAAAAGTATGGAAGAAAGGGTTGTAGAGGTCCAACAGTAATTTAGATGAAGAACAAAGGTGTAGTGTTTGGAGATATTGAAGATGTGGAGCTGGGTGGAAGGATAAGCTCCACCAGAAGTGGGAAAATAAATTTCTTTCCTTTTTTTTGCCCTGTTTGTTTCCTCATGAGACATAGGTTAGGTGATGGAAAGCTGGATAATGAGTTAAGAGTGAGCAGAAGTAGTCAGTAGGCACACTTCTGCTTCTGAGGCACAAATGCTTGTCAATAGTTGAATATTCCTTTTTATTCTGATTCATTCTCCAAAAAAAGTGGAGAAATTGAAACAAATTATTGTAAAGAGTAACGTCTCCCACATAACTAAAGTCACTCTTTGAAACAGGATTCTTGCTTGTTGAGGCACTGTTTCAATAATACACTTACTGTATTTCCTAAAAACTCGAAAAGATTCCCCTGTCCACTCTGTCTTCTGTTCCCATTCATGTTGCACTATGTCCTAGTCTCTGGTTAAGAGTGTGATTATTTTGTTGTTGTTTTGTTTTTAAATCTATTCTCCAGGTTTCTGATCCAAGTAGTTCTTTCTGACAGTTGCCATTTTCAGTTGATCTGCATTTGTAAAACACTTTGTTAATGTACTGTTTGCAGATGGTACAGTTGCATGTTGGGGAAGAAATGCAGCTTAGCACCATTGAAAGAGGAACTTCGAATCCAGGGGGTGAGTTTCTGTATAGTTGTCCTGGTTTCAGCTGGGATAGAGTTAATTGTCTTCCTAGTAGCTGGTACAGTGCTGTGTTGTTTTTTTTCTGTGCAGACCTGGGGCTTATGCCCTAGAGCTGATAATTCAGTGAGGTGGGATGGTTGATATTTATCCTTGGTAGTATTTAGCACATTCTCCATACCATACATAAATGGCTACAGCATCCATGTGTGGAAAGACTAGTTAACACTAGCATTGGATCCGGGTTTTATATGTAAAGGCAGTGTAAGTCCAGACTTGCTTTTTTGGGGCAAAGATAGAGAATTGTTTCTGGGCACATTTCTGCCATCTGCAGACAGGTGAGTGGCTTGGCTTCCCAGCCCTTCGTTGCCTTTCTTCTGTGTTCCTTTGCTATAGCAATGGGTTCAGCATTACAAAGCGCAACAGGAGCAGGTTCTGAACAAGGAGAATGTGCTTTTTGCAGAATCAGAATGCAGATGTGTGCTGTAGGTGTGCTGGATTGCTGCACAAAAAGGGTCATGTTGTGTGTTGCTGAACTTGAAGCTCTGAAAGGGCAGAGATATGGCAGGGCAGAGATGGGAAATCCTGGGCACGGGTGCCAGGCTTGGCACTGACCAGTTTCAAGTGGCACTGACATCCATGAGCCATGTCAGAAAGAATCTCCGTTTCTGTTATGAGAAAATAACTCCATGCTAACTTTGTAATTTTTTTAAATTTGAAAATGTGTGCAGTAAACCAGTGGTTTTTATTAATATGAAATTAAGTTTTATATTGCTTCTTTGCATAGGTTCCTAAAGTTACTCATACTGAATTCTGTCAAGGACGCACCATGAGATGGGCACTGGCGTGGAGTTTCTATGATGATGTACAAGTACCTGTAAGTAGCTTAATTTTGCTTTGCTTGTGATTGTCCATGCTTCTTATTTGAGGAAGGGCCTAATGAGCTATAACTGCTGTGGAACAAACTGTTCTCCTTCAGACTGGGACACTGGATGTGCTGGGCTGTATGGACAGTAGGATTTCTTAACTAGCTACCAGTCTGTTGGCAGTTGTTGCGTGTGATGCATGAATGACCTATGTTTAGGGAAGAAAAAAGAAGCCTGTGTAGGAACTTCCTATGGGTTTCAGTGTAAGTAAGGGTAATTTGTAATGTACTTCAGATAGCAATTTAGTAGTATTAAAAATATGCTAAGTTTGGGGCTAGATTTGAACTTTCAGCTTCCCTCTGAGAACTTGGGTTTGATTTACTGTTACAGATTCTGTTACCAAGTAGATACGAACATGTCTAGCTTAGACTTACCTACATGAATGTAAGTGAAGCTTGTTCACCATAACTAATGTAAGCCAGCTGCTTTTTTGGATCCAGATGTACATATACTGTAAGATAAGCATAGACAATAACCAACCTTATAGAAGGTGCGAGTAAACCTTCAGTGAACTTGGATCAAAATGTGGATATTAACCCTTGACCTCTGTTCCCAAGAGCAGCCGCACTTTCTCAGCTCACAGAGAACTAGTGGTTTGAAGGAAACAATGAAGCTTTTTGCCTAAGGTCTGAAAAACTCCCTCTGTCCATCAGGCTAGCATAAAGTACATGATCCTGTTAGCTGTTTTCAACCTAAAACTCTTTGGAGTGAAGTGAAACTCAAGCCCTGTCAATAACTGTTTAGTGGCTTACATTATGCTCTTAATCCCCATGTCTACTGAGTACAAAAGTAATCCCACTAATACTGCATAGCTTTGTAATTTTTTTTTCTTTCTTCTAGTCACCTCCCTCTAAAAGAAGAAAATTAGAGAAACCCCGAAAACCAATTACATTTATGGTTTTGGCTTCTACGGTCAAAGAGTTATCCATCAAAGCTGCAGCTCTGGGTTGGGATGCTGTAGAAGCTATTGCTGTGGTTAGAGCCTGGGTAGAGAAGATTCTCACTGATTTGAAGGTACGGTATTAAGTCTTATACATTAAAACAACGTCCTACTTGAAAGCATAAGTGTGAGAGGATAATATGAAGTTCTGCTGTTTTCTGCAATAGGTTCAGCATAAACGTGTTCCCTGTGGCAAGGATGAAGTTAGCCTGTTTGTGACTGCCATTGAAAACTCCTGGATTCATTTGAGGAGAAAGAAACGAGAGAGAATAAGGCAGTTACGAGAACTTCCTCGGGCTTCTGAAGATACTCTGCAAGCAATGGAAGAGGAAAAAAACAGCCAGAAGAGCATGAGCAACAACTCGGACTGTGAAAACCCCAAGACTGAAGACTCTGAAACGGGGTTTGTGGCACCTGAGGAGGATGTTCACTTGGCCACAAGTGACGAGCTAACAGAAGAATCTGCCACCAAAGAAGAACACAGTGAACATGTGAAGGAGGAGGAGACAGAAGCGAAGCGGGGAGAAATGTCACTCGTCAAAGGTTCCAGTAATGCAAATGAGGAACCTTGCCCTTCAGAGGAAGCTAGCAGTCTGACAGTTGAAAAAGAACAAAGTCCGAAAGAAACTAGTAGATGTTTTCTCTTTAAGTGTTTAATGAATGTGAAGAAAGAAGGAAATGATGTATTAGTAGAAATGCACTGGGTTGAAGGACAGAACAGAGACTTGATGAACCAGCTGTGCACGTACTTACGGAACCAAATTCTTCGACTGGTTGCTAGTTAGCCCTTTTTCCTACCTTAGTAAAGTCAGTCAGTCCTCAAATTTTGTAAACTATTTTTAAGGGTTTAAAGTTTTCAGTTAGCGAAACCTGTTTTTTTCCCTTAAAGAAGAAATGAATAAAATGGAGATTAAAGTCCCCTTTAATATTTTAAATAGCTTTTTCAAAGCTGCAACTAGTACATGAAGTGTACTTCATCAGACATAAAGTGATGGGGAAGTAATAGATTTTGGGCTGCAGTTGTAAAACTACATGTTAAAGTGAAACATGTCTATGCTGTGAGCATTTCAAACATCAGCACTGTTTATTCTGGTCTTTTTTCTGGTGCAATAGAATTATATATTGTTACTAAGTAGAAATCTTTACTGAAATATTTTCTTCTATATTTTTTCAATACTAATGCAGGAAACGGTTAGTCTGCTGTGGGAATTGTTTTCTGCAGCAAGGAGTCTTCAACTAAGGATTCAAGTATGCCTCTCTTCCCTTTAATGCATTTAACCTTTGGTCTACAGAGTAGCAAGATGGATACATCCTTTTCAGTGTCAATTCATTAAAATAACGGCTTTAGAAAAACCGCCTGTTGTACTTTTCTGGTGCTTGGGCTTTGAAACACAGAAGAGCCTACTATGAGCATCTGGTTTTGTAAACTTTAACAACAAAATAAGCTCTTTGAGCTGCTTGGTTTAAAGAGGATTTAATTATGTTGACTGTTCCATTAGACCATTCCTTACACTAATTCAGATATAATTGTCTGAAATAACATCAGTATTCTTAAAGGATTTTGCGTCCATTTAATCTTAAGAGATTGCTTTAATGACAGGAATGAGAGCATGTGCTCATCTTTGTGGGCCAGAAACTCCATAGGCAGGACAAAGATGGGTACAGAAGCTTTAGTCTGTTGTGAAGGAGGACAACTGGAAAGAAGGCTGTTGCTTCCATGCCTGACTTTTCGAATCCATTTTACCACCAGCTGTTTTCTGAGTGTTTCTGGGCCAATAACCTGTTCCTGTGAGAAGAGAGGCTGAGGAACATGGGTCTTGGGTGCCTCAGAGAAGGTGTGTGTATGTGTTTTGAGATTATGAGCACTGGCACTGCTTTGCATGAAGTCAGCCTCCCAAGCTGTGATCCATTTCTCTGTAGAGATCTACAGAAGACGGAAAGTTTTTCTGAGTGGAGTGTGTCTGTGTGTTACCCAAAATAAAAGATGCATTCCTGATGGACAGAATACTACCTGCCTATGTTCGTGCTACTGGAACCACTTTGAATGTTCAGCCTTAGTTGTCAATATTTCTGGAAAGATTAGTATGTTTTCTTAAGTTGAAATTAAAAGCAACTTAGAAAAGCCTTAATTTTCCCCTCTATTGTTAACTGTTGTGTATCGTGCTACTTAGCACTTCTGCAGGTGATGGGCAGACACTTGCATTTTTTTGGGGTATTGCAGAATTTTCACAGTACTGCTTCTGATATTCATGTTGCTGGGGAGAGATGAAACTAGCCCTACTCTTTCAGAATCTGAAGAGGTTATTTTGGCTAGCTGAGCCATTAAAAACAGCAAGCAAGGCTGTCCTTTGTGCTGTTCCCTCTTTATTGTTTCCATCTGTCTTTCTGCAAGGATGAAGAAGCTCTGCAAGGTAAGCCCGTGTGCTTGTGGCACGCTTGTTTTGCTGAAGCAGACTGCATTATGTTGCTTCATTAATTACACCTGTCTTCCGCCTGGGCCACGTGAGTAATGTGTGCTCCTGAGCGTTGCTGAAACAAAACCAGGTACGATTACAAAGAAAACCAGTAGTCTGCGATTTGGACGACTGTTCTAGAAGTTCAAACGTTGCCTTGGCATTTTATTTAATACAATACGCTTTGACAAAGGTGAGTGTGGCACCTGGAATGCTAAGAGTAATGATTAAAACCTGCGTTAATTAGTGCCCAAAGCAAATTAGCGTTATTGTGTGCAGCTGTAGCAACCCCTCAAGAGTTCCAGTCACAGGTGGTGCCGGGGTGTTATGGGTAGCCGTTTTGCCGTGGAATCCTCCTCCCCGGCCGGAGCGCAGGCAGGCGGCACCCTTCTCGCCCTTTCCCTGCTCCATCTCAGGCCGTTGACCGCCCGGGAACGGTCCCCGAGCCCGCCGGCAGCCGCGGCGGGCGGGGAGAAGCGGAGAGCCGCCCCGCCGCCGCTCTGGGGCGGTGCTGGGGTTTGAATGGCTCGGCGGGAAGATGGCGGCGTCACCCCGAACGGCATCGCTAAGGCCTCGGGCGGCCCGGCCGCCTCCCGCGGGGCCGGGAAGGTTGTTACCCCGCTCGGCCCCGCCGCTCCCTGCCGGCCTGTGCTGAGCCCCCCGCCCGGCCTCGACCTCTCCCTGCGCGGCAGCAGCCCCGGCACCGGCTCGGCAGGTACCGGCCTTCCCCTCCCCTTCCTCGGTCCCTCAAGGCAGCGCCGGGGCGTTGGGGGGAGCGGCGCTGCCGAGGGCGCGCTGGGCTGGTGGCCGCGGCCCCCGCCCGCCGCTGCTCCCTCAGGCAACAACATGGCGCCCAGGCGCGTCCCGCCAGGGCGGTGCGGGAAGGGGTCGGGGACCCTCCGAGGCTCTCCCGGCCCGGGGCCTTTGCCCCGGCGACGAGTCGCTTCGCGGTCCGTCGCTGAGGTAGGTGCTTATGTTGGTTAACAAGGGTGGAGGCGTACGAACGAGAATCGAGGGATCTTCCTGATGGTTAGTTGAGGAAGGTAAGAAAGCGTGTGTTCTGTGCGCGGTTCTGAAGTCGGGCTCGTTTCGTTTCGTGTCGGTTAACGGCCGGCCTTATTCTTGACTCGGCCTCTAGGTGCTACCATAATACAGCAGTCGGTATAGTCTGTATTCTTTGGTATCTGAGGTGAGGTTTACCGATGTTACCAAATTGATTCGGGAATACAGTAAGCTGATAAAATGTATTGTATCTAGAGATGTCACTTTAAGTGGTCCTGGCTGGTGCCCTGATACCTGCAAATGCAGAGAAGTGTAGTGGGGTTTTTTTATATGACATCTTGCCTATACGTACAAGGTGGTATATAAACATCTTGTGGCAAGATGCCATATAAAGCGGTCCTGCCGCCGGCCGGGACCACTTAAAAGTGATGCTTCTAGTTGCAATACATTTTTACCAGCTTATTGCGCTCTCGAATTGAGAGAAATCAAGATGTGTGTATATATATCTAAAATAGAGATGTTTATAGAACATATTGTAACTTATCTCTTTTGCAATTTTTCTGTAACTCTTTGAAACATTTACATCTCTCAGCCTCTTCTCTAGTCATGTCGCATCTTCTCCCCATGTGATTATGTTCTGCAAGATACAATTTTGTCAGTTTCTGCAAATGGAGCTGAGCAAGGCAACGTGCCTGTTTACACAGGACAACTCCTCAAAGACGATTCAGTAAGCAGCACTCTTGTGTCCAACTGGCCTCACTTTCTGGAAGAGTTTTCTTTCAGAGAAATCTAATGCCCAATGTTTTTAACCAGCAGCGTGTATCTTCATCATTTTGACTATTTTTTAGCATTTTTCTAGTAGGTAAAAAAGAGGTTAGCGTTAGGGGTGTACTTTTGTACATAGATCTTTAAGAACACCTAAGGCACAGGTTTTCAAACTCACATTCAGTGCTAATCTACAGATACTCTTCAAACAGCAGAATCACATCATCCTTTACTGATTCTGTCTTTTACATGTAGTTCATTGGTTTTAATATTAGGAAAGAAGCTTGAGATCCCATCTTGTAGGTTTTTTTTCTTTTTATGTTTCCAAATCCTAATTCTGCCATATTAGTCACATTTTAGGATAGACAAATCTGGTCTCCTCTAAGTTCCCCTTGGGAAGCCTGTTCTGCTTTATGGCATACTGCTGTTCTCGCCTGATGGTACTCATCTTCTTATGTAGTATTTGTATGGTACTTTGATTACACAAAGTGAAACAAAGCTTTCAGAGCTAAGCAATATCAGCTTTTTTATATATTTGTGTAGCGGAGAATGATCATGCACTAGTGACAGCTAGGATGGGGTAAACCTCATGAAGGCAGTTGAAATTTTTGGTATGTAGTGAGCAAAAATACTGGCTGCTTATGCACCCTAGTGTTTCTGATCTAGCCTGCCCTTAATGCTGTCAGCAATGGTGGAATATTTCTTTGAGAATTTTTTGAATGTGCCAGTAGAAGAATTGGTACAGTAGAGTCAATACACACAATTACTTGGTTTTGATCTCAATTTGACAAGGTCTCATAAAATGCTGTTATGGGAACTATACAGTCATGGGTGATAGGAAAGGCACTACTGTGGATCAGAAACCTGTTTTCTGTCTCAGATGAAGGAAGGAACAAAAAGTTTGAGTTTTCTTAATGATTTGGAAAAAGGGAGGAGGAAGGAGGCAGTATCTGTAGCCAGCACAAAATTATTTAGGGTTATAAAGACAAGAAGTAAGCAGCAAGGAACTTAATCAAGCTGGAGGAACTGGGAATGTGGTGAAGATACTAATCAGTGTTGATATACTGAAGTAACACACATTGTAGAGAGTAGCTTGAGCTGCTTGTTTGGTTGATGTTGTTTTTTAATTCATCCGTAAAGCAAGAAAAATGACTACATAGTTCTGTAATCTGTGAGGATTACTGAAGTCTCTGTAGCAGTAATTTATAAAGGAAACAGTATGGGTAAGGGTGAGATGGCAAATACATTGTAATGCTGTTATATTAATCAGTGCTGAGACTCTCTGTTTGAGTATGTATTTGGTAATAGCTGCTCTGCCTCAAAAGCAAATACCAGAGTTTGGTGAAGAAATGATTTGAATGTAGAAAATCTTATAGGAGGAAAAATTGAAAAAAATTATGTCAGGAGATAAGAAGAATGGTGAAACGTCCATAGGAAATATTGAAAAATATAGGGAAGATAGTTTCTTGTTACCTCTTCTCTTAATACAGGAGCTTGTAGAGAAGTTTGACCTTTAAGTATATAACCTCAGTGACCTCAGATTCAAGGATGATACTTGACTTTTTAATTTTTTTATTTTCTCCTCCCAAAGGGCAATATCAGCGGGTAAATGTTCCTGAAGACCAAGCAGACAAGTTGCTCCTTGCAAGCTGGGGTCTTCCCAAAGCAGTTCTGGAGAAATACCACAGTCTGGGAGTGGTACAGATGTTTGAATGGCAAGCAGAATGCCTAATGCTCGGACAAGTTCTGGAAGGGAAGAACCTAGTTTACTCAGGTATGAAAACATCTGACAAAACTAGTCACCCCTGAACTTTCCCAGTGCCATTTACAAAAACATATTGGTGCTGAAGGGTTCTGATCTGGCAGATAAAAAGGTCAAGATCCAATTTTTTCTGGAGAGACCCCATTAAGATCTGTCCCATTGCTGTACCTCAGACCTTGCTTGACGGACTCCTTTCCGGATGCGAGGAGAGACTTTTTTCCCCATTTTCTCTGTTAATGTTCCTTTAGAAACTGATAATTAGGAGTCAGTTAATGATTACTCTCTCTTCTTTTTTTTTTTTTTTTTTTATTACAGACTATGTTAGCTGGGAACTGAAGGATAACAGCAATGTTAGATATAAATACTTTTGAAAATGTTATTTGCTATCTGGTTTTTTCAGTTCCTTTATCGTTTCTCTTCACCTAGTGTATGGGGGGAGATGGGCACAGAGGTTGGACTAGAATTCTGTGGGAAATGACAAGTTGGGTGGTGTCTACTCTCCATGGGAAGAAGGTTCCAGAGCAGCACTAGGAGGATGAAAAACTTAGAAGAGGGGTGGATGATTTTCTTTAGGCTTGGATTTGACTTTTATTTACTTGGTTCTAGAAGACTTTGGGCCTCATTGCCGGGTAATGGCTGTCCCCCAGTATGTGGCATCTCTTCCACAGTTTTCTGTGGATGATAGATGGCAAACAGCAATGCTTGCCAAGCAGGAGGGGTTAATATTAATTAAAAAACTCAACTTTTTTTTTTTTTTTTTCCCCTAAGCTCCTACCAGTGCTGGAAAGACTCTTGTTGCAGAATTGCTTATTTTGAAGAGAGTCCTGGAGACTCGTAAGAAAGCTCTTCTCATCCTTCCCTTTGTCTCTGTGGCCAAGGAGAAAAAATGTTATCTGCAGGTAAGTAGCATTCAAGGAGGGTAAATTGATGGGTTGTAGTTGTTGGCTCACATTTTTTAAACAGTTAGAAGTTTTTGTATGGATTTAAGGAGAAAAAAATTTGCAGGTTGTTTCAGAATGGATTTATAGATAATTTAAAATTTGCTGTCATTCTAAGTTGGAGATAAAAAACCCAAAAGTTTTAGCCAAAGAGGGAAACTTGGAAAAATTTTAAGGAGTTGATTAAAACATTTTTATTTCAGCTTTGACTTTTAGAGCATAATTACTTGCATTTATTCACAGATTTTATAATATACAAACTTTAAAGGAATTTTCTAATTAGACATTGTGTCTGCAAAACTACAAAGGGAAGGTGTCAATGTTATCTGAAAAGATAAAGGGATATTTTAGCTTTCCTTGGGGTGTTCAACCAGAATTTTGTGCCTTTGGTTTCACTTTGACTCTGCTAAAAATTTGTTCTGCAGAATGTGGTTATGTTTTGGCTTCCTCACCCCAGCTATTTAAACATTGTTTCCATTAGCTAATATGTCAAAGTAACAACAATTACTAAAACCAAATACAAAACCAGCAGGCATTTTTGTTATAGTTTCTGACATTTGAGACATTTTGGGTGTTAATAAACTGAGACAGTATCTTAACCTTGCAAATTGCTACAAAATGCTACAAACTGAGTGCAAGAGCTACTTGTAGTGATTGCTAATGGAGACATGTTTTGCTTTAATCTTTTAAAGCTGGAGATTTATCGATGTTGTGTTCTGCTTCTCCTGGCCTGGTTTGGCTGTAGCTGTACATACTTGAAATCATACGGTATCCTACCCATCTGGTTCAAACATTTGTACCATTTGTTAATGCAGTTAATGTAATGTAATGTTAATGTAATGTGCCAAAGCTTTGGCACTGCAATAATAAGCTGTGGAAGAAAATAAGTTGTTTCTTGACTTTCAGTGGGAGATGCGACATCTTTGTGTTTGGGGTCCCATGTTTGGCTTTTGTCCAGAATTTCTCAGGAGCAAGGCTTTTTTGTACATAACCCACTGGTATTATAAACTGTTGCGCTGTGTGTTCTCTAACCTTTTTAATAGTAAATGTTTTTATACAAAACAGTGGTCCCCACCTCTTACTCAGGTATGTACACTTTATCTTGCAATGTGTACTGTGTGGCTTCTGCTTTGGAAATAACAAATGTCAGTGGAAAAATGTAGCAGTAACTGACTGAGCTGTGGATTTAATGTGATTAGTTGGCATTATAAGTACTAGAGACTGTGGTTCTAGGATGCTGGCTTTTATGTGACTCCAGCAGGCATTGGTCAAAATTCAGAGTTGTAACCTTGGCATGACATTCTCTATCCTTGGAAAACAGGCCCTGTTTCAGGAGGTGGATGTGAGAGTTGAAGGCTACATGGGAAGCATGTCTCCTGCTGGACGTTTCTCTGCCCTGGATGTTGCTGTCTGCACCATCGAGAAAGCCAATGGTCTAATCAATAGACTAATAGAAGAAAACAAAATGGACTCACTGGGTAAAATACTAAGGCTTGACCATTGTGGGGATGAGGTTTATTACATACTCTGAGCACATGTGAAATGATGGGATAATTTGAATTTGCTCAATTCTGTATGTGACAGACATGCCATTTAGGAAAACTGAGCAATTTTTCTTCCTCCAGAGCACCTCTGATTTGGATTTAGGAAGGCAGTCAGGACTATTCTATGTAGCTCAGTGGCTGGGGTCAGTAGGTAGAAGCTGCAGGTTTTAGTTTGTCTCACATGGATGAAAATCCATGGACAGTGATTAGCTGCAGGAAGCAGTGATTCCCATAGCTAGAAAGTGTCTTCTAATTAATGAAGTTGAATTAAAGGTCTGGGATATGTTTGAGTTCAAGAATGTATGTATGTTCATTTGTTTTGGACAGGGATTGTGGCATCCATGGTTTATCTTCATTTAGCTCAAGAAAGAGGAGGAATTGTGTTTGGTGCTCATCTGGGTCAAAATAAGTGGAATGAATACATAGAGCTCCTCTGGGTAGGCATGGTGACTAGGAGGGCTGTGACATTCATTTCTCTCTTGTAGTTTACTCAAAAGCCCTCTGTCCTTGTAATGTAGACTTCTGGGTCACCATGGCCCTGATGGCTGCTAGATAATGGTAGTATTCAGTTAGTGTTGGGGAGGAGATATAAAACCTGAAGAAGCCCTGTGTTTCCAGTGCGCACTTGGAGAGAGATGTTTTTTCCTAGTCCAGTCAGAAGTTTGTTCTCTTTGTTTCCCTGCTCAGTAAAGCTATACCAATTATATTTTATACAGTAATCCTTCCTATATTCACTCTGGCCTGTAACATAGGTGGTTGCTATTTTAAGAATATAAAAATTGGAAAACGAGATGAGTATCAAACTGCTCCATGACCTCCACCTATGAAACTGCTGTTCCATGTGCATCTGGTGTCATAATATTCTGCAGCATTGTAGACCAGAAGAGTTTTTTAAACACAAGAGAGAATAAGGGAAATAAAGCCTTGCAGGTTTTTTCAGAGTGTGAGATCATGGGATAACACATTCATACCTGGGTCTATAGGGGCTGGATCACCATGAACGCTTTAGACTGCTAGTGGGCTGGAAGATGAGTGGATGAACATGGTTGTGCAGCATTTTAAGCTCATTCATATTGAGGCTTCTGCAGACCAGCCCGATTCTTGAATGTACCTCTTCACCCCTTCCCTTGCAAGAAAACTGGTGATCGTGCAGTTAGTTATTTCAATATATGGCTACTTAAGGGGGTTTTTTTGTTTGTTTTAAATAGGGGTGGTTTGATCCTAGGTCAGTACACTGTACAAGCTGTACTGCCAACATAAGGCAGAGAGTGGGGTCATGATGTCCATATTTATGTTGGCTTGGGTGCCTTAGAAGCATGTTTGGTATACTAAAAAGTATTGTTTAATGATATCATCTTTCAGAAGCTAGAGATACGCCAAATCCCTTTGGTTGGTACCTCCATTCCATTGTTACGTTTTGTTGTGCTATCTAAGATGAATGTGCCTGAGAAGAGTCATATAAGTATAACCAGGCAAGCGATTACAAGATTTGAGTTTGAATATGTATCCTCAACTCCAATACCTCCTTAAAGCATCATGTTTTTCTCTCGCCATTTGAAAACACCTCTGCTGAAACCTTCCATTTCCCTTGTGCCCCAATATGACCATATAACTGAAAGAAGGGTAAAAATATATTTTTTCTTTATATGCTTATTTGAAATTAAGTTTTAAATTAAATTTGAGTTTAAAAATCATCTTTAAATTAAGAAATTGACAAAATTTCTATTTGGAGATAAATTTTCATAAAAGCTGCAAAACACGGGCATGAGCTGAAAATGCCAGTTTAACTGTCACCTAAAGCAAGCTTGTCTGAAACTGCAAGATTGTACCTCGTCTTCTAATTAATTCTAAATTTAGACCAGTTCATAATGAGGGTGTTTTATCTTTTGAGATGAGTTATTGGGAGATGACTGCAGTTCTGGCTGGATTCCATCTCAAGCTTGAGCTGTTCCTTTTGTTGATGTCAACCCCCTGCTGATAGCTCACGTTGCCTTTGGAAATTGTTGAGAGAAACTCAAATCCTCTGCCTGGCAGAGCTCTCTTTGCTGTATGAAGCAGTTAAAAGCAATTTTGTGTTGCTAATTATTATATAATGTGTGTCAGTTTTGAACATCCAGGTACACAGGAGATGATATTCCTCTTGTTCAGCCCCTTGTCACTGATGCTAAAGAAATTTTTGGGAAAGCAGATTAGAGAAGAATCTGACGCCTTTTCAATGTGTCAGCTGGGAATGGATTTGTAATGTGCTGTAGTGATACTTGTTTCTTTTCTTAATTTAAAGTTGAAATTAAAAAATTACTGGTTTAATTGTATTAAAAAAAAAAATCAAATCCTCCTTGCCTGTCATTCAGAACTTCTTAGTTTTAAACAGGATGTGGACTGAAAGCAGCCTAATTATTCCACAGTAAACATGTATGACAGCTCTTAGGTACTTTTTAGTAGTTTTTTTCAGCAGTCTTCTATGGACATACCTAATTTCCAGACAGAAATAGGAGAATAAGGCTAGCCTCATTTTCAGTAGCAGTGCAGTATAACAGAATTCTGGCCCCACTTACACTGCTGAGCTTGTTGTTCAGTAGAAAATACCATTGCATGCATACCTGTAGTCCTCCTTGGCTGCAATTCCATTTTAAGGTGAGGATGGCATTGGGAAAGATACTGGTTCCCTGATTGCTCCTGCTGTGTTATCCCAGTGGGTGTGTTCTAAGTACTGCCTGAATAGAGGAGAGCACTGTGCATGTGTGACAGGTCTCACTAGCTTGCAGACTGCCAGGGCAATACAGTACACAGGTTTAGCGTGGGTTTGAATATGTATTATAGCTGAGTAGCAGCAGAAGGTATAGAACAAGTGGCCCGTACGACATACAGTGGCATTCCCTGTGCTTTGGCCTGTAGGTACCACTAGTGTTCTATTCTTCATTTCAGGAAGCAAAATGTGCTGCTGCTTGGCACAAAGACTGGGAAGGTAACTTGTATGAATTTTACTTTGGTAGATATCTGATTACACTGTCCTGTCTCAGCTGCTGGAAGAATTCAGACAGACTGTTGTATTGGGAAGCAGGAAGAAGCTTTTTCTGGTAGCTGAATAAATATGTATTTGGTGACCAACGAGATACCATTTTTTACAAGCCAGCACAGAATAGAGGAAGTACAGGAAGACAGAGGAGCTGGATGGGTGGGAGTTTGTAAAAGAGGCTTATGAAGCAGTGTAGCACTCTTCAAACTTAAGTGGCTTGAAAGAGAAGGGGGGAGAAAACAGACGGAGAGAGAAGGAACATACGTAGGAAGGAGAGAAAAAAAAAGAGAAGGAAAAATAGCATTGAAACAGATAATATAAGGTCACATTTGCCCTTAAGCTCCTGCTATTTTAGCTGTACCAGGAAGATATTACATAGCTGCACCAAAGAGGAAAAAAAATTCCACAGCAGCAGAACTAATGAAAGCTTGTGTCCCCTGTGCCCTGCTTTTTTTGTTTAACCTTCCTTCAGCTTCTTCCATGTCCCTGTGACCCTGTCAGCGGGCCAGAAAGGGTGTATACTGCTGCTAGTTGGGATGTGTGCAGGAGGTGCGCTGGGTGGCCAAGTTGTAGTGGCTCTGTTTTTTCCTCAGCGGAGACCCTCATCTGGTCTGTTGTCTCCAGCTGCTGATATTCAGAAAGCTGTTTAGACATTATTCTTTTCAGTATTTCTACACATCTTACAAATTTGATGGAGGTGGCTAATAGAATAAAAAAGTCATTTGCAGGAGGTAGGATGACAAGAGAGCAGTCATGTAAGATGGTTTTTCTTTTTTCATTAGGAAGCCAAAGCTAAATAGTAGTGCTCATTCCAGGTTTGGTTAGTGAGAAAAGATACAATAGGAAGCAGGGTATGCCAGTGAAATTGCATCTGCTCTAGGGGTTTTTTCTGACATTACTGCATTAGTAAGGAGTGATGTTTTTAACTAAGACAGTGATGTCAACAGAGCTTTTGTCTAGCTCATCTGGGTGCTGGAATGTTCCTTTGCAGACACTCTGAAGCCTGGGTTTTTTTACTTGCAGAGAGGTTACAGTATAGATGCTGCAATGCTGTTTTGTGTGGTGGCCAGACTAACAAGTCTATCTATTTATTTTTTTAAAAGCTGATTGTGTGTGTGTGATGTTGTGGGGGGTTTGAAATGTCATGACATTGGTCACGATTTGTGTCTCTCGGAAGCATCAGTGACAGAAGGAAGCCGTAGTGGTGTTGGTAAGCGCAGCTGGATTTGCAAGTATAAATTTCAGTTCATCATGTGGAATATGAAAGGATCAAGGCCATCTATTCTCAGTTTGGAGTTTTGTCAGATATAACCTGAGTGCTTCTCTTTATCAGGAGTGGTGGTTGTGGATGAGTTGCACATGCTGGGAGACTCTCATCGAGGATATCTGCTGGAACTCCTTCTGACCAAAGTTAGATACGTTACAAAGAAGGCTCCAAAACGGTGGGTAGACCAGGATGTTGATCTTTTAATGCTAATTATGGATGGCTCTAAATGTTTTGTTCTCTGGGTGGTTGGAAATTTGGGTTAGCTCCAGGGTTTTTATGAGACTGATGACTTAGACTATTTTAGTTATTAAGGTCTCATCATACCACCTCTCAGAGGCCTGCTGTTGTAGTCAAAACCTCTTTTCCTCATGGTTTTCAATTTGTGAGCTACCATGGGATTCATTCTCTCAGGAAAAGAAATAAGGCTGAAACTTTCATTTACTTTTTTAGCCTATTTAAATTTTTTAAAAACCTTTGGATTTCTTTTAACGTTTTTGCTAGTGGACTGGCCTTGCTTAATTTTTCAGTGTTTCATGGAATAGGCTGTTTATCCTACTGAAATGTTCAGGTATTGTGGAAGAGTGGGCATGCTGTTAACTTGTCAATGGTGAATTGATCAGAAGACATAAGAGGATGCGCCAGTAGCCTGCTTAGTTAGCGCTGCTCAGGGTGATCTGTGGTTTTGCTTATAACATGTGACAGCCTAGTGGTTGCATGGTTTCTTGCCTTTAGCACAAATGATTGGACACTGGGGAACAGATGAGATGTTTCAGAAAAGCTTTAGAGGCTTCTAAGAATTCAGTACCTAGATCTCCAGCACCAAGCCGTCCAGCAGCTCCATAGTGCCTGAACACAGACGAAGGCAAATGGAGGAGATTGTGTATTGATATTCCTAATCTTTATTGGTGGTGCTGAGAGAAGAGTCAAAATCAGCTGTTCCCTTAGCACCAAAGGCCAGATTTTGCCAGTTTTCTCTGCTGCTGTCTTGTGAGTCGTACCAGTGCTGGGCTAAGCACAGACTACCTATTTATTTCTGGGACAACTGCCATTTCTACAAGCTCTCTGCCAGATGTTTTAGCCAGTATTTCCCATCCTGATTTCCAGGATCCAGCAGTGTTCTGGGTCTAATCACCTCTGACTTTTTCTCATATTCTCCCCATAAGTCCTGGAAGCCAGTACACTTCAGAGCAGTGTGAGTGGCTTTGCCACTTCTTTTACCTTGGCGGCTTATCGTGTAGCTGCAGCACAGGTGCGGGTCTACTCTCTGCTTTACTCCCTTGCGTTGAAGAAGCAGGAAGGAGAAAACATTTGTCAGGGGGAAAAGGGGACAGATGCATCAAGGAATGTTCCTGGGAAGATGCAATACTTAGCGCCTATATGGTGAAGGCTTAGAGCCTAGATCCTCCATCTCTTCATCATGGTCAGGTTGACAGTGGCTCCCTGTGCCACTTTCTGACATGAAGGAAGTGGCTGCTATTTTTGTTTTGGAATCCACTTGAGATGCCCGAAGACCACATTTTCTCTCAAATGTCCTCCCAAGTCTGTGGTGCTTTTTTTTTTTTTTCTGTTATTTAATGGGACCCCCTTTATCCAAATTCTTTAAACACTGTCCAGTTGGACCAATTATCAGAATGACCAGTGCTTTTAAGAGCTTTTTAAGCGGTTAGCCAGATGTCCCACTGAAGTATAAGGCTGTGTCTTCACACCAAGAGAAAGTTCTCTGATGGCTGTTGCCAGCATGGGTGCCCTTGCTTCTCTGCGAGGCTTTTGCAGACCCAGACAAAATTCTGCAGCAGATTTTTCTCTTCCCCAGACAAAGAGTGTGCTGTGGAGCTGGAACGTTTTTAATCCTTGAAGGTCAAAAGCTGCTTTAGGGGGAGAGATCTGCAACCTAGATGGCGGAGCTGTACTAGCAAATGCTTGAAGAACTTGGATAAGAGAAAGTCTGCCTCTCCACATCTTCCTTATTTCTGTCTCGTCAGTGACTGGCCTTTTTTACTTTAGCTTCTGGGCAGTCTTGTTTCCTCTGTCTTGTCTTTGCCAGGATTACCAGGATCTTCTAAGAAGTTTCTGGCTGTTTCTGAGCTCGCATTGATTTGTCAGACCTTTTTATTTTTTAAAGTCTCAATTTGTGGCTCAGTGTAATGCAAATGAGTAGTTTTTAAACATAGGCTTAGAAGCATAAAAATTCCCCTATTGTGTGGATGTAAAAGCCTGAATTAAAATATACATTTGGGTATCTAAATTAATGGTTTATGTTTTCAGGTCTGTTAAGAGTCCATTACTTCTCACTGCCTTTAGTGGAAGCTGCTGTTCAGCACTTTGAGAACTAAAGCTGCTTTCTTCTTTGCTGAACTGAGGGCTTTTGTTCCCAGCTCTAGGAAGACCCTTAGTCTAGTATTATTTGTCCTGAAATTGAAACAAATGGAAGTGTTTCGATTAAGGCATTTAAGCTTTGAAAGACTGCAGTGGAGACTGGACCATTTCTTTATTTCCATGTTTTTGTTAATGGCAAGGAAATAGTTGATTTATTTATTTGTTTTCAGTTTCTCCAAATATGCAGTCAGTTTATGGCTGTTGTTACCTGAAAAAGCTTAAAGTTTATGTTCAAAATGATAAAAAGTTGAATTATCTTGTTATCAGTGCATAACCTGACATTGTGTTTGCTAAAAGTAGAGTATGGCTTGTTTCTTTGTCAAGAAGTTGAAAAAAATACTTTTGCATTTTAGACTCCAGAAGGAAGTAGACTGAGTTAGTTTTTCTGAATCCTGTTTTCCAGAACAGTAGCCTGTCACTAACCTTAATTTTCTTTTAACCGCTTCCAGACAGGTGAAGGTAACCAGTCCTGGTTTTGGTGGGATACAGATAGTAGGCATGAGTGCTACTCTCCCTAACTTGGGACTCCTAGCCTCATGGTTAGATGCAGAGCTATACTGTACGGATTTTCGTCCTGTGCCCCTCAAGGAATGGGTGAAAATTGGCAGCAACATTTATGACTCATCCATGAATTTAGTGCGAGAATTCCAGCCCAAGCTTCAACTAAAGGTAACAAAACTCTGAGCAATGGCTTTGGGTTAACCCCTTTCGTACAGCTAAAGTTAAAAAGACAGCTACTGGTATGTCTTTAATTTTTGTTTTTAATAGATGACATTCCCAACTTCATTATTTACTTCATAGTTTATATGCTTACACTAAGGACAAATTTTTTTTTGTCTTCTACTGATTTAAACAAAAACCAAACCAAAACACACTCATGAAGTTCTTAAAGTTTCTTGAATCAGACTTGAAGACAAAGTTGACTTTGCAGCTGTCTTGTTTCTGAGCACTTGACAGGTATAAAGAGCTTGATTCTCTCCTTACCCACTACTCTATCTTGTGTCCTGGAATCTAGTTGACTTTTCATAAATGAAGGTAAATATTTCCTAGTTATGCCAAGGAATTTGCATTAATCATTGGGAGAATATATTTGCATTAAAATGTGGTACTGAACCTGCTTATGTTAAACTGCTAAATGATCTAATTTTGTCACTGATTAGAAGGCAGATGTCCATCCTGATTCTTCTGAATCTGTTACCAGTATTTAGTACTTTTGTGCACTTGAAAAGGGTATGAAAAGTTAAGGGTAACGTACTATAATGATTTGGAAGAACCAAATGCGTAGCAGTGGGAAATTTGCACTTCCTACTTGTAGGTTCCTTTTTTGTGGAGTCTTTGAAGGGTCCAGTCCTTTCAACTGCTCTGTGTAATACTAGTGTAGTAGTTGGACAATGTGGGCTGAATGCCGGCAATGTTTTGGAATGCTTTGCAGCCAGTTCTCCTTGTGTGCAAACATTCTGTTATCAGTAGCATGGTGGCACAGCAAAGAAAAAGGATTCGAGAAACAAAAGGAAACGTCTGTGACAAGACTATCTAGAAGCTTGCTTTTATGTGGTCATATTGAGAAGCTGATGTTGCATCTCCTTTTCTGGGTATTTTTTGAAGTGGTTGCTTTGCATAGGTAATTAAGTGAGAGAAAGAACTAAAGTAGGCTTATGACTCAACAGTTTACGGGAGTTGGTTTATTTTGTAAGACCAGGTGATCCTTTTGGGCTTGAAATCTATCACTGGACTTTCAGACTTCTGTTCTGTACCTCAAACAGCACTAGGGAAGGGAACTTGATGACCTCACCACTTCTGCTGAATTTGGCTGAATCCTTACCGAGCTTTTGATGTGTATATATACAGTTCCTGCCATTGCTCCCCTGTTTTCATTTGCATTTTAGTGCTTTTTATTTCTTACTTGTATGCCTACCTTTTTTCTCTTCCTCTTTTGGCCTGCTTGCTGGAAGAGAATCTGGCTTAACCAAGCAAAACAGATCAGTTGCATGAACTCTCTTAGGATCTTAAAACCAAAAAGGCAAGCTGTAAACAATAGGGTTTTGTGTGCACACCTATATAAGCATCCATAAAAGCCTTCCACTGTGCTCTGAACACTTGCAGTCTTTGGTCAGCAGTGCTTGCTGGGTGCATGTTATTGGGGATGCTGATTACTACATCTCATGCTTTTAGTTCAGGCATCCCAGCTGATAAGTCTTCCTTAGTTACTGTAGAGGCATGTTTTCCCTTGGGGCTCTTCCTAGTTCTTCCCCACTGCTGTTAGCCATGACATGGAGGTTGCAGTGATTTTTTTTTTTTTTTTTTTTTTTTTTTTGTGCACTGTGTGGCCTTCATTCAGAAACAGATTTATGAAAACAAGATGTAAAGCCTTAGATTTATTCATGGTTAGGTCTAGGGCTGTCCTCAACAATGTGGTCATACTAGTGTTTGGACTTCCTAAAGCAAGACAGAAATGAAGATAACGGTGCTGCATCTTTGTTTGCTCCTCTTTCTGACTTGAAGTAGAAGATTCCTACTGTGACACAGAAGAATGACAGCATTTGCAAACTCCATTCAGTGTTGAGAGTGCGTTGAAAATATTTTGTCTCAATTCAGGGAGATGAAGACCATGTTGTGAGCCTGTGTTATGAGACTGTTTGTGATGGCCACTCAGTCCTGCTTTTCTGTCCATCCAAGAACTGGTGTGAGAAGCTAGCAGACATCATTGCCAGGGAATTCTACAGTTTGCAACAGGCTGAGAGTAAGAGAAAAGTAGTTAATAGAAGACTGTAGTATACACAGTACCTTTAACGAAAATTAATTTTAGTAGAAACTATAAAAATATTGTCTCTCTCAAGGTTCTGCAAAAAACTCAGCCCTTGCCCCTGTTGTTGTGGACAGAGAAGGGATTGATGAGGTTCTGGATCAGCTTAAGCGTTCTATCTCAGGCCTGGACTCTGTGCTCCAACGTACTTTGCCATGGGGAGTGGCATTTCATCATGCAGGTATTCCTGAATACGTTGGTCTTGAATTCTGTAATGGTCAAGTCATGTGGGTTCTTTTTGCTGTAGCTGGCAGCAATTTACCAGTTGCTTTTCAAAGCCTTCTGTAGCTTATGACTGAATTAAAATGCTTTGAGATTCTCACAGTTAGAGGTAAACCTGAAATTCTTTTATTGTGGCAGAAGATTTTAATTCACAAATTGTTATGATAAATCTTCTCTCTGTTCTGTTGGATAACAGCAACTTTTTAAGTACAACTTAAATTTTTTTTTTTTTTTGTGAAATGGCTGAAAAATCAGCTGATTTGCAGCCCAAGCATTTTCAAGTTGTCTCTAAAGCTGCCAGAGTATTTCAGAGCTATTTTCCTCAACTTAATACTGAAATAGATGAGTAAATAGAAGAATAGAAGTATAACAATGAAAATAAAAATAAAAGGAGCATGTGCCACAAACGCTTCTGGCTAGATCTTTTATTTCTTTAAGAAGGTAATAATGTATGTCACCTGTTGATCCACTGAGAGAAAGCATTGCCTCTGGAAGAGAGAACAGTAGCTATGGCATTGAATATGTAGGGGAAATAATTCCAAATGCTTATAGAGTGTGAATTGCTTTCTCAAGAATAAAATTGGCAAGAAGCCCTCAAGGAAACATAGAAAGATATGTATATATGGAAATAATGAAGAAGTTTTCCAGGGTCAGGACTGTAAATTACTAAATCCCAGTTCCTTACTGTGTTTGTTACATCCAGTTTTCTTCTTTTTATTTTATTTCTTTCTTTACTTATTTACTTGCAGTACTTGTAGATATGTAGTAAATAGTTGTTCATCTTGCTACAATGTGTACAAGCACCTTAGAAAAGGTAGTTTATAACTATTACTGTCAATTGAATGATGAAAACTTAATGATGAAAGTTTGCTTCGCTTACGATTTGAAAGAATTTAACTGAGGTAGGGTTGTGAGTCTAGTTCCTAACACTGAATGGCGAATGTTCATTAAATTTGTTCTTTCTCTTGCTTGACAGTAACATTATTGGCTCTTAAATGCAGTCTCAGCACTACTAGGTTCGCTAAAAGTCATCTCTCCTCAGGTCTTACTTTTGAAGAACGGGACGTCATTGAAGGAGCCTTTCACCAGGGCTTGATTAGAGTCCTAGCAGCAACCTCCACACTCTCATCTGGAGTGAATTTGCCTGCACGCCGGGTAATTATACGAACTCCCATGTTTGGTGGCAGACTGCTGGACATTCTTGCTTACAAGCAGATGGCTGGAAGGGCTGGCAGGAAAGGAGTAGACACAGAGGGTAAGCAGAGGCTTTATTAATATTCTCTAAGAACAGTGTTAACCTGATTAAATCCAGGGCAGTGCTTCGCAATTAGTGACTAATCATGATGAATTCCTTTGGTATTCAGTATGATTAAGTTAATCAAGATGAATTTGTTTGGTATTAAAGGTGTAAAAATTGTAATTCCCAGGGGATTCTTTTCACCGCATGAGACTTACTTTGGTATTTGTGTGTCAGTTACTTCAGGAAGGGGCTATTTACTCCTTTCAGTTATTGTTAGCTTCTAAGGCTGTGTTGTTCATTTGCCTTAATTCTGTGATCCATGGTCAGTTTACGAAAGTGTTTACACTTTCAGTGAGAAAATTTACAGAATTCTCACTGGACAGACCTAAAATGTAAGAAATGCATTTAAAGTCTACAACCATAATTTGACAAACTACTTCTGTTGTCTGAAGTTCTGATTTGGATTTATTAAACTTTCGCTAAACTTAACTTTTATGTATCTTTATGTAACTTTTATGGATCTTGAAAATAGGAATGTGACAGATATATGGGAAATATGAACAGTAGTTCTTAGATAATATGATGTCTTCATGCATACAGTGGCACTGATTTTATGTTCAACAAAATAATCCTGCCTGTTATTTTAATTTGCAATGGAAATTTGTCTTCATGGATGGTATTTGGAAAAATTGTATTATACAAGTATAAACACAGTAGAAAATAAGAAGTTCAAGAGAAGTAGGAAGTGGGATTTGCCCTACTGATGGTTTGATTGGTGCTTGCTGGAACCCGATGTAAGCAGACTGTTCTTACATTTAACTTTCTATTTTTGCCGGAGTAGCATAGCAACAGAGCATTTTGCGACCTATATCTCTGTGAGCTATCCCTATGTGTTAAAGAAAAGGGCAGCTGCATGATGTATTTTGAAATTTTCCAGACTTTGTCATTTGAGTGTAGCTGGCAGGTGTAAAATTACATTATTCCTTGAAGTTTCTTTTTTTTTTTTCCCTTCAAGTTACAATAATTAGTACCCTTTTTTTGACAGTTCTGATGTGACTGTGTTTTGCACAGTAAGCAGTTGATTTTATGCTGATGAGCTTCATGAATGTACCATTTTTCTTCCACTCCACAGAGTCTTTTGGATGAGAACATAAAGCTACATTACCAGCTGCTACTCTTTCACAGAGTAGGGAGACAGGAGGAGAGCAACTTCAGCTGGAAAAAAATGCCTTATGTGGGTATGAAATTCAGCTGACAGACAGAAGATAAATGCTGTTGGGTTGATTTCCTCCTTCCTTCCCAACATTGTAGTGTTTGATTGTCTCAGGTTTTGATTTTTTTTTTAATTTTTTTTTCCCTGATTTGATGGAAATTTAAAACCACCATTTTAGAAAATTAAATTGGATTATTTTTGCATTCATCAAAACTGTCATGTTCCCAGGGTGAAATAGGTAAAGCTGTTCAATATAGCTGAACAAAACCTAGAAATATAATAGGGCCTTTTTTGCTTTTAATGGAGTCTTCTGGTGTTTGTCTAGTCTGATGCTAACCTGGACTTCCTGTCTCATCTGAAATGTTCAATAAGGGATCTTGGAACAGCTTAGTTCCCTTTTTTTTTTTTTTTTAAATGTTTACTAGGTTGCAATTATTGGCTTTAGGTTCTCACTGGCATCTTGGGAAAGGGTTTCCCCCAAGTCTTGAATGACTGTCAGACAGTGTAGAGTCAAGTGGATGGATACCTATCTTCTGTTAGATTTATCACACTGAAAAGTCAAAGTTTTCAGAGGGAATTGTAGGTCACATCAGAACCCAAATATGAAATGAGTGAATGTTCTTGATTGCTAAAATAAAAATAAGCTTTCATTTCACAAAACAATGCTTACAGGCAGTTTATCTTCTGTACTCTCAGCTCTGGCAAAAGTACACAGTCAACAGATGTCAAAAGTTTCACCTGGCAGGATAAAAAAAATCCCAGAGACACATCCTCTGAGCATGTCTTTCATCCTGTAATTCATTTATGTAATCATGTTTAATCTGTATTTCGTTACTTAAGTACACTGAATTTATGGTATTTATTCTGTTCATTAAATTTAAGTGGAGTTGTGTTTTCATTACCTCTGGATTTGCTAATTACCGTAGCATTACTACGGCTACAGTTCTATCATAACTTAACATTCCTAGGATCTTACTAAGATACCCACTACCAAAATTACCTTGGTGTCCAGATGATGTGCACTTAAATCTTAACAAGTTATCATAAACCTATTATGATATTTACTCTATGGCTAATCCAAATCTAATGGTCTCTTCTTAGTCAAAGGCACGCTTGTCCTACCTATAATTCATTTATCCTGTGCCAATTGGCAAAGCTTCTAACTAGCTAGGTCTCCCAGGGACCTAGTTTGTCTGTAATGTCTTTGTTGAAAAAATCTCCTTTATGTGACCACTGCATTTTCCGTGGCTGGTCTGTACTATTGTCTCATTAAAGGAATTGGCCCATTATTTTTATTTTTGTTTCATAGCTCTGGGAACTTTTTTGTCACCCACAGAATTTCAGTAGTTAGGGATTAACTTAACAATGTCTGATAGAGAATTTTAGGGTAAGGTATGTTTAGATGTACTTTCAGTGTACCATTCAGGATACTTCAGATTTTATGTGTGTATATATGTGTGTCTCTCTATATATATCTATGCATATAGGAAACTTCAGAGAATGCATAATTACTTAGATTAATAACTTTGGATTTCTGAATTAAGTTGGTATCTGTGTTATTTAATCTCGGGAGTGGAAGCTGGTTGACTTAAATGGTCAAAGTGCTGTGCAGCCTTTATGTTTTCTTCTTGCTTTTGAGAATCTTTTCAGTTCAATAATGTAGTGCAGAAGAAAAATTGATGCCACTGTATATTATAGTTCCAGTCAATTCCAGAAGAAGAAGAAGCGAGAGTGGTTCAGCAGCAAAGCAGATGCAAAGTGAGGCTATGGAAGCTCCTTAGCTGATTTGGCAAGACCCTGACCAGGCTAATGTAACTTTGAAGTTTGCTCTGCTTTTAGTTCTTATTATGCATCTGTAGGGCTCTTACATAGCAATGGATATACACTGTTCAAGGTTGCAAAGGTTTTTCTCTTTTTTTTTTAATTCAGCTTTTTCAAAAATATCTACAGTTTTCCATTCCAATAATATGTCCTTGATGATCTGTATGTAATGTTTTTTGTTTGTTTTCTTTTCCTATAGGTGAGAGCATTTTAGTTTGCAAGCCCTCAGAAAGATCAAAAGGAACTGCTCTACTTCAGGGATCTCTGAAGCCTGTTTGCAGTTGTTTGCTTAGAAGAGAAGGGGAAGGTGTTGCTTCTAGCATGAAGAGAGCAATACTTGAGGTACAGGACACCTGTACGTGGAGAGGGATTAGAATGGTGCTTGCACTCTCGTAATTATAGGATGGTTTCTTTTGTGACACCATCAAATATTTTCTGTGCACTTTCTTTTTCTACTGTTTCCTCCCTTGTCAACCCAAGCATCTTCAGAAGACAATTACTTGGGTCTGCCAGCTTGCTTCAGTATTCAGCATTTTGCTTGGTATGTTTCAGTCTCTGCTTGCTGCAGATTAGGATGTGAGCACACTCAAGCAAGGGTTACTAAGCTTTGCCTTTGCATTTTGATATACTCAAACTGCAGGCAGAAATAAGTGTAATTCTTAAACTTCATGTGTGACCTGACAGTCTTAACTGGGAGACACTTGTAAATTACTGATCCCAGAGGCTTTGTAGACTGAATTGGGCCATAATGACATTTGTAGAACCTTGTAGGGTCCCTTACTTCCCTACTCAACTTATCTACCTCTTTTGCACAGAAATGATAGAAATTTTTAAAGTACATTTTTGGTGAACAAATGGGTGTTGTACCCAATTCACTCCCTCTAGCCTGCCCTCCTTTGTAGGGTTCCTACGGGAGTAAAAAGGACCAAAAGGGTGTTACTCCACACAGGTGAGCTTATCTCCTTTTCCAAAGTTGCTTTTGGGCTTGAACTGAGCTTAGACTCTTTAAATACAGTTTTTTGCTGTACTACTCTTACTGTCCTGTGAAAGCTGCTGTGGTACTTAACTTGGTTGTGATTCCATAGATTTTTGAATTTTTAGCAGACCAATGGAATTTCTAAATGCATTTTTCTACATAAGGGCTATCTGAAAGATGGGGGCTCCTCGCTGGTGATGTTGCTTTATAACATGAAAAAAATCCATTGAAACCATGAAAGAAAGTTTTTAGCTAAACACCTTGCTTTCTCAAGGAAGACACAGGCATGGAAATGACTCAAAAGGAAAAAGCAGTTATGTGACAAACAAAATGAGAACAAAATCTAAGGGTAAAAAAAAAAATCACTCTCAGGAAAAAAAAAAAGATGGGGTATAGCATTCACACTTATTAAGAGAAAACTTCATTATGCTGAAGAGCCTTAGGAGAGCTCCTCCTTCCTGCTTTGCTTTTTGTCTTCAGAAAATTGCAGTTTGTGTTCTAATATTTTAAAAGTATTTCACAATGTTGGCTAAGCAAAACGCCTAGGGTTAGTCTCAAATCTAAATTGCTACTATGTGTATGTCCAGTATCAAAATAAGATTTTATAATTCATTCTTTCCCATAGATTAGTCTTCTTCTACCTAAGGTGTCTAACTTTTTGCCAAGAAAAATCCTTAAAGGTTGGCAGTTGCTTTGCTTCATGTTCCTCTCTTGTTCAGGTTCTTTAAAACTTAGATATCTGATGGATCAGTCTCTTTGATTCTCCAATCTGATGTTCCATCCTATTGCTTCTCTGGCAATATGAACAAGTAGTTTTCTTCAACAGATCATAGTGGGGGGACTGGCCGACACTCCAGATGATGTGCAGACCTATGCTTCTTGCACTCTTCTTGCATCCAGCTTGAAAGAAAGCAAGTGGGGAAATGAGAAAGCACAAGGCAAAGCACAGACTGGACCTATCGAGGCTTGTGTGGCATGGTTGCTAGAAAATGAATTCATTCAGGTTCTGGACTCTGGCAATGATGTGAAAGGTAATGTTGGTGTTCCTCCCAGTGATTGCAGTTAGCAGTTTTGAATCAGTAAATCTTCTGCAGCTGGGTACATGCTCAATGTAACTTTTTAATGAGGACTTCTGTGCATGTTTGTTTTTATTTTAAAGAATCATGTGTATCATGAATTTTTTTAGCTTTCTGGAGGGTGTCTTCATACCTGTTTTAACATTTTTTTTTTTGCATGCATGTGTTCTTGGAAGGCCTCTCTCTGCATATCACCTCTAAGACTGATGCATCCTAGTCTATAAATTCCCAAAATACTTTTAAACAAGGCATCCTTTTACTACAGGATTTGTGCACGTTAACTGTAGACTATGATTTTTGTCTTTCTGAAGAACCACCAGCACATTCTAAGTGACTGCAAGTCTCTTCTAGAACTGCTTGGTGTACATGGTTGCATTTTTTCCTGATTTTGGCTATTTTCTCAAAATGGCTAAGGATGAGACTCTTACAGTAATAGTAAGAATCCCCATTACAGGTTAATTTGTATCTCTCATTTAAGAAAAGATGATAGGAAATATTTGGTGTTCCTGAGAAAGAAATACTCAAAATGATAGCTCCTAGGCAGGATGGCAGATGGGATTCCGGTGTTTTTTGTTCAAATAGCTATCATAACTGTTAGTCTGAATAGTTAGAGGGATCCAAGCTTGTGATCTGGCCTCTAAAAAAGGCTAGTTTAGGCTTAGGCAAGCCTAAACCTTTTATTGTTTCCATTTTCCTGTCTTCAGAATGGAGAAGTATGCTATTTCTTCTTGAAAAAGCAGTTGGGAATAGTTAGTAGAATTGATATCTATAAAATACATTGCAACCTGGAAATGAGATAAAAACTTCCACTTAACTGTTTCTCTGTGTGTTTTTTTGTGTGTGTGTGGTTGGTTTTGTTTGTTTGTTTTTAACAGCAAAGGTATATCATCCAACACATCTTGGCTCAGCTACTCTTTCCTCTTCTCTTTCACCAACTGAAGCCATGGAAATCTTTGCTGACCTGCAGCGAGCTATGAAAAGCTTTGTTCTGGAGAATGATCTGCATATTGTCTATTTGGTAGGTTCCTCATTCTGTGTTTTGTATTTAGTACCGCCAAAACGAAGGAAAGGAGAGAAAGCACAGTGCAGAGTTTTTGAGGGCTCTATGTACGTAGGGGTTTTTTTTTGTGCTTTGCTTAGCTCATCCTTTATGACGACAAGTTCATAAATTGAATGTTTGTCAGAACTAGTCTGTTCCCATAGCATCTATTGTTTTGGCAGGTGCTGCATGTCCGTCTAAGCCCGTTGTTGTCACTCCTGACTTTGAAAGACTTAAGAACTTTGTAAGTTTGGGTTGTAGGATAACGGTAATTTTTCTGAGACACTTGATGGTAAACAAATTAGTTTTGTTGTGTGTTTGGGATCAGCAGGTTGCATCTCAGAATGCTTTTGGAGGCTCAGAAAACTTTTGGGGTTTTAGTATCAATTTTGCCTACAAAAAGCCTCAGAGAACTACACTGCTTTCTTCCTATGCATGGGCCTTCAGTTCAGTAACAGCAAAATTCATCTCTGATTCAGTTTACTTGCCTGGTGATACTGCCAGGGCTAAAGGAAGGAGCGTGATAAATCTTTTGAGGGGAAAGTGTCTCCAAGTTTGTCAAGATTTACGTGCATGGACATTTAAAAAGCTAAGCAATGCTATTTAAGACCATTGGAGAGGAAGCCATGAACCTGTGAAGATTAGTGAGGAAACAAGATAGAGTTGCAGTGAACATCTTAGGATTCATGGCTGCCAGAGGCCTATCGTGCAATCATCATCTGAATTTTGACAGTTGTCTTTAGCCTCCTTAAGTATAAAGTGTATTCTCTTTACCAGGCTGATAAATCAAAGGCAAAATTTGGGTATCTTGCCTGAAAAAAAAGTTGACTCCAAGGAGAATATGCTTGTGGTTACAGAGGTGTTGAGCTAGGGGACAGGGAGAGGCAAGAGACTGAGGGTTGCCTGTCTCTGCCTGCTGTGTTCATTAACCTGGTTATTGGCTCATACTGATAGGATTTTTGGGGGAGCGGGGGGAGGGGTGTCTACTAGTGTCCCATATGTACCCATATCTCTGCTTTAGAGGACCACATTAAATTTTGTTTGATTTCTACTAGGCAAAGTGGACTGTTTTGTGTCATGCACCAGTGAATTTTTTCCCTGTTTGCATATCCAAAACAGAAAAACAAAGGATGAATTTTGTTCATGTTCTGGGTTAGAGACAGTGATGGCAATATATTTTTTTTACCCTGTACTTTTTAATTGTGGCAGCTTGTCTAATGTTATTTTAAATCAAAGACACTGTTGAACAAAATGTTCTCAAGATTCTCTTCATTAAGCTAGCCTTTCTTGCAAGTCTGTTCATTTTGAAGGCCGAAGGTTTGTTTAGTTTTGGTGGCTGGTTTGGTTTTGTTTGTTTGTTTTTAAGAATTGTTCTCCACATGTTCCTTGTAGGCTACAGGGAAATTATCTGCTATAATGCTTTTTAATTCTCTTAGGCTTGAATCTTTTACTTGTACAAATATGAGACTGAATTCCAAGACCTTGTATTTTAGGAAAATTGATTAAAACAAATAAGTATTTGCTAGGCTAGGAAAAGAGTTTTCTTTAAAGAAAAAAAAAAAAAAACAACAAAAACCCAACAAACAACAAAAGACAATCTCCCACCTTAATAACTCTTGTTCTTCCTAGCAGATGAACAGGCATAGATGATTTTACAGCTATGTAGGCATCTGGTATTCTCTCTCTCTCTATATATAACTAACAACTGTTAGTTATTTCAAAATAATTAATCTTGCAGTATATCGATACAGTTATGAAGACATTTTGTCTCCTCATACTGAAACTGACTGTGCTGATTGAACGATAACAGAATTGGTATTCTGTCTAAAAGTCTGTGAATGCTTCAGATGGCTTTTTCGTTAGTGTTGTTAAAAGCTGAGATTTCTTGTACTCTGGGTAAACAAAAGCTTCAGTGAGTTCTGCCAAAATCTATGTTCTGTCCTGCTTTATCAGATGATGTGGCAGTGGTTAGTGTGGTTGCTAGTGGTTTTAAGAGGTTGATGGGTATCTGTCAGGTTTTTTTAAAAAAAGAATAAAGTTTTGTTTTGTTAAAGGAGAATAAAGATGCAGCTTATAAATCTTCTAGTGGCTCAGATTTAGGGAGCAATCTGACAAAGATTCCAAATTGTTTAATCATAAGAGTACCCGTATGAGTCAGATCACATCAGTACAAATATTAAAAAAACTAAGTTAGAAGAGCTTTTACTTTCTTCAGGGTACGTGGTCATGACTCAGTGCCTCTCAGTAGTGCGTAGGATGCTCTAACTGCATTCCCTAGACTGTATTTTTATTTACCCAGAGCTCTGTTCTGTTTGTTTCTCTGAAATAGTTTTTTGTATTGCCTTATTTTCTTTAGGTCACCCCGGTGTATGAGGAGTGGACCACAATTGATTGGTACCAGTTTTTCTGCTTATGGGAGAAGCTGCCTGCCTCAATGAAACGTGTGGCTGAGCTGGTGGGGATTGAAGAAGGCTTTCTGGCTCGTTCTGTAAAGGGCAAAATCATAGCTAAAACAGAGAAACAGCATAGACAAATGGCCATCCACAAAAGGTAGCCACAAATGGGTGTGAATGGGCAAAGACTAGAGGCTGTAACATGTGGACAGGCTCTGTGTCTGTTTTCAGGAACTGGCTCTCTGGCTGAGTGAGCTGATAGCTCAGAGCACCTGGATCTGGTGTGCTCTGAACTGAGAATACTGTTGGCACAAGATGTTTGTGCTGATGTTTTTGAAAGCCATCTTCTTTTTTTTGTGTGCTATGCTGTAGTACCATTCTGTCCTATGCTATCACAGTGCATTTTGCCATGTACACTAATGTGCCCTGGGTGATGATTTTATTTCCATGTGTACTACTTCTACAGGTTTTTCACCAGTCTTGCCCTTTTGGATTTAATCAGTGAGGTTCCCTTAAAGGATATGACCAAGAAATACGGCTGTAGTCGTGGCCAGCTTCAATCCTTGCAGCAATCTGCTGCCACCTATGCAGGTGAGTTGTATGGGCAAAATACCCAAGGAGTCTTAGGCTAGTCTGTTTTCTTTCCTTCCAGATATGGGGATAAGATAGCCGCAGTGTGGTACTAACAACAATCAGTCTTGTAAAACCACTTCCAGCTTTATAGCTTAATCTGTGGTTGCCCCTGCTTTGAGATGGAACCACAGAGTGTGCTGTGGGAAGGGGGCCAGATGAGTGGAATCAAGCAGTGCTGTAGCATGCTGAGGTTTGTGGAAATCACCCGTGTACTGTGCAGGAATGTATTTTGTTCAATACTAAGTATGGAAATTAAGTACAAGTCTGTTCTGAAGTTTTGCTCTATCAGGAAAGAGTACCTTTCAGCATGGGTGAAGTTTGGGGTCTCTAAAACTTAGCATGACTTCCTTCTGGTTGCAAAGTTAATTGGCTGGAAAGTATAAGTTTATAGTTTTCAAAACAGTTTGAGTAGTTTCCAGGCCATTTATCACCAGATAACAAGAGGTCGGATAGCTGTCACATTTAACTTAACTTCCTCAAGAGGATTTTGTAGGAGTAGAAGTAACAGCCCACCATGTGACCGAGGTTTGTTTTTTTTTTTTTTTTCCATTGCCTGTCCTCCATTATTCCATAAGCAGGTCTTCAATTTTTAAGATAGCTTTAGCTCAACTTGCAAAACCCTATGTGTGGGTTGCAGCATGAGTCAAAGCCCCAAAATGAAAAGGTCACGCCAACTGATGCAGAGTAGTTTAAATTAATTCTGGTAGTATAAATAACTTTTTGTTGTAGCAGTTTCATAATTCTCTATTCCAGTGTTAAAAATTTTCACAAAAGTAATTTGGGAAGTAAAATGAACTGTTGACATGACATATAGTTAAGAGATATGATAAAAGTCATATTCTCTAATCGCTGTAAAATAGCGAGGGATGCTGTGTCTTTCAGTTATTTTCATAATTTGTAGATGCAATCTGTGAGTAAGAAACTGTCTTTTCCCTGCTCTTTTCCTCCTCCCATGTTCTGGGGACTGCAATTGTAACCTTTATCGCAGGCTTTGCTACCTCCTATGATGCTCTCAGTAACTGAAGTTCTGCTGGCCAAATTCTGCTCTTACAGACATCAGTGCTGGCTTTCCTCAAAAGATTTGTGGCTTCTCTTATTGCCACTCATCACTGCTTTTTCTGTCTTCTTTTTTTCAGTGTGTTTGGTTCACAGGAATCCTGTTACAGGATATGCATGTGCTTCACACTTTCAAGATTAGCGTCTTTGAAAAAACAGTGTCATTCAGAATTTCTACCTCATTGATAAACTAGTTAGTTCTAGATTGAGTTCTGTGAGACCAGCTCCTAGTCATATTTGTAATAAACATGAGTTAGTTTCTGTAAGTAATGGGAAGGTGAGAGATGTAAAGTGAATGCCTATTCAGATGGGGGGGGAAAAACGGATCCAGCTTAGTAGAACTGGAGCCGGAGTGAAGACATTGACGTAACTTCTGTGTTCCAGGAATGGTAACAGTTTTCTGTAATCGACTGGGCTGGTACAACATGGAGCTGTTGCTCTCTCAGTTCCAGAGCCGCCTCACTTTTGGGGTTCATAGGGAGCTTTGTGACCTGGTACGAGTGTCTCTGCTGAATGCACAGCGTGCTAGGATGCTTTACAACGCTGGCTTTGTCACAGTGGCTGATCTTGCTAAAGCTCATCCTGATGATGTGGCAATTGCTCTGAAGAATTCAGTACCATTCAAAAGGTGAGAAATCAGTAAGTCCAGAAGTCAAGTAAAGGAGTTTGTAAGGTGAAGGATTACAGGATGAAACCTGTAATATAAAGTATGACAACCTTTTGGGACTTGGTGCCAAACGTTGGTTAGAAATAACTTGCAGGTCTCTATGACTGATCACAGTCATTCCGTGATTATTTTGAAATTAATAGAAGCATTTTTTATTTGCAGTATAAGTTTGAGAGACCTAAATTTTCTTCTCGTTCCTCTTTTCAATGCACTGTTTAGTCCTAGGTGAATTGTTAATGCTTTCTGGAGACCTTTTGCTGCCTCTAAAAGGAAGCTCCACCTTGATGATTTATTACTCTGTATCATTGGAGATCCTCTTGTGATTTTCGTGTTAGTGCAATGACAAGCTTCCTTGATCAAGTACCTGTTGGACTGTGCTATGACACCTGTCTGGTTCATGCTCCTGAAGTTTCCTTTCTTTGGATACCAGTGCATGGAGGAGGATTGATTCAGACCTGGATCTTGCCCTAGTAGGGGGTTGTGACTTATCTGGGGTACATGTTTGGACACAGAAACCTCGGAATGCTTCTGGGGTATGCAGGCAGTAATAGCTTTCATCAACATCAATTCACATATAGACAACTGAAATAGCTATTTTCTATTAAGTGTATTATATCTTGGATATAGTGCTTCTGTGAAGCAAGGAAGCTGTGAAGCTAATTGAAATGGGAGCAAAGCAGAATAGTGCCATCTTCTTGTGTTGTTTGTCATTTTCTGCATGAAAGTTTACATTTGTCTGTTACCTTTCCCATAGCGTTCGTAGGGCTGTGGATGAAGATGAAGAATCAGCAGAGGAGCGTCGGACTGTGCGCAGCATCTGGATGGCTGGAATGCAAGGCTTAACTGAAAGAGAAGCAGCTTCCCTCATTGTGGAGGAAGCCAGGGCACTTCTCCAGCAGGATTTGGCACTGATGGGAGTGCAGTGGAACCCAGAGTCTTTTCTTGAGACTGATACATCCTCTACAATCATCAGTGAGTCAGCACTGGAAGACAGACTACATAGATCAAATGGAGAGCAGTCTTCTGAATCTTTGAGGGTGTTAAACAACAAAGGGTGCAGAGCTGAAGACTGTAATGGCCTTGGTTCTCAGACTGGAAACTTATCAAATATTAAAAAGGGATATAAAAGGCGACTAAGCAGTAGCAGTACAGAAAACTCCAGATTTGAGAGTGAAGTCCCATGCAGGAGACAGGCTCGAGCAGAGGAAGCCAATGATGCTATTGTGTGCAGTGCTAGAAAACGGCCAGAAATGTGCAGAGATAATGAAAACCCAGAAGGAATTTCTCTGGTCAAAACCAAGATGTATTCCAGGAGAGCAATTCCAGAAGTCCCTACTGAACAAGGAAAAACACCAACATTGAGAACAAAGTCTTCAGTGTCTAGATTGATAAAAAGTACGGACATGCATTTAAACCGGACTAGGAACAAAAGTACTGCTTCAAAACCGCACAGGTCATTTCATGAAGATTCAAATATGCTTAGCATAGACATACAAAAGCCACCTACTTTCCATTCCACCATCTCTACAGATAATTTTTTTTCAGATCAAAATAATAAGGAATTTATGGAAACGGGGTCTGTAACTCATAAAGTCTCAAATTCTGTACTGATGGGGGAAATTAATCTTGAGAGGAAAGATAAAATGGAAGGATTATTTACAGAGCCTACCATCACTAAGGAAGGCATGTCTAAGGGGAGAGCATGTTTTCAGGCACCTGTTACATTGCAGAGTACTCCACACAACGATGTGGAGACATATAATATTGTAGGAAGTCTAGTAATATCTGGTAGTGCTAGGATACAGAGAAATGAAAATACTGATGATAAGCAGAATAAAATCAATAAAATGCAAACAGATGCGAGCTGTGCTGAGGCAATGATTGGTAAGCAGCAGATGGCTTTAGACACAAATCATGGTAATGTAACTGCTAGCTGCTCTGGAAGTGGACATGTCCATTATGGCAGCAGGATATGGAAGCCTGTGCATTTTTGTCCTGATGAGGATAAATCCTGCCATATTCAGATTCAGAATTGTGGCAAAAATGGGAGTGAAAAGCCCAATGGAATATTGTTACAAGCTGGAGCACTGCAGAAAGCCAACAGTCATCCTAAGGATTTTCTGAAAGACTCTCTAGTAGAATCCAGAGGTGTTTGCAATGCACATGATGTTCAGAATGGTTCATCCTCTGATCTGTTTTCTGACTCTAGAGACTTTGAAGACAGCTTCCCATTGGATACTCAAACTGAGATGATAATAAAACAGGAGGGAGCAGCTGGAATCACAGGACAGCACAGAATACAAGGTTCAGAGCTGGCAGCAATACCATGGCAGGAAATCTCCAAGAAACTAAGCACTTCACGGACTGAGAATGCTACTGATGAAAGGCTGGCTGCAACAGTTAGGAAACTGGGCTTATCAAGTCTTATCACAACAAATAACGTTGCAAAAAGCACAGCTCAGCACTGCAGTAATAATGTTTTGGAGTCTAGATGCCTTAGTTTACAACCTGTAGCGAAGGAAATAGAATCTGCACCTTGCCTTAAAGAAAGCAATTTGTCAGTGACCGACTCCCAGCTACACAGTTTTCTACAAGGTTACCAGACCCAAAATTCAGTGAAAGGGGAGAGTGTGTCTAAAGACCTTAATAAAGCAAACTCCCCTTTTGGTAGTGAGCACATTGTACAAGTAGAATGCCACCCTGTCCCTGAAACAAGCCTGAATATGAGTGATATCTTGCTGTTTGATGATAGCTTCAGTAATGTCAGTGACCTTTCAGCTGTTCACATCATGGAAGCTGACAAAAAGGACTCTGTGGAGAAGCAAGAGGCTTTGCTTCCTCCAGATGGTCTTTTGCAGAACCTAAGGACTGTTCAGAATAAATTTGATGTCAGAGGCAATCAGAAAGAGCATGAGGATCCTGTGCAGTGTAACAACGTGTCTCTAGCATCATCTGATCTAATAGCTGAAGTTTTAGATCATGCAAACTCCCCGTCTTTTCTGGAGGATCTTCCTTCTACATTTCATGGTCAGTCAGGATTAAGAAACCCAGTGATTTTTAACAATGACCCCAGACCAAAGGTTTTAGCAGGAGATCACGGTGAAAAGCTCCAGAGAAACCAGCAAGCTTTAGACAAGAAAACTCATCCAGTGGTGTGGACTGACCACTCATTTGAACTAAGCCCAGGATTGCAGGATGTATTAGACAAATGGCCTAGTCCCTCAGGCACTGAACCAGTTTCAGTAAGCTCCTGTTTGAAAGAAAAGTTACTTGCTCCTATTGTTAATCAAGAGCCAGATCCAGTTTTTGAATCTGACTGTTGTCAGCCAGAGCCTTTGCCCACATGCCAGGATTTAAAAAGCTCTTTCAAGGTTAAAGAAAACAAAACGGAAAACTCGGATCTTCAGAAAACAGACTGCATAACACTTCGACTCAAGGGAAGCAACAGAACATCCTGTCCTCTGCCAGATAGTAATAACGGGTTTATTCCTCCAACACCCCCCAAAGAGCTTTTTTCAAAGAGTTCTGTTTCTCTCTCTATGAAACCTGCAAGAAAGAGACAAGTCACCTGCATGAACGAAGGGCAGCTGATTCACCCACAGCAGAACAGCGAGGGCGATGCAGAGCAGGTGGTAAAAACACTCCAGATCAGTCTTGGGACTGTAGACCCAGTTGAGACTGGTGAGATAAAAGATGATTCCACTATAGACCAAGGCTTTTCACTGCAGCTATCTCAGGATGTTTTTCCACTTGTTCCTTTAAGTGCTGAAAGTTTCACTATTATTGATGTAGCAAGTGACAAAGAACTTTTCCAGACTTTTGTTGCAGAATGGAAGGAGAAGAGTAGATTCTCCATCTCAGTGGCATGCGAAAGAACAAAATGTCTTTTGTCTCCCAAATCAACGATTGGCGGCAAATTCAAAAAAGGTCAGTTCTATGTTCCAATGCATTATTTTGTGAACAGCAGGATGGCATCTTCAGCTTAAGGCAGGAGTGGAGAAGGAAAGGGTTTGCAAAAAAGGAGGAAAATGACTGGTAATAATTGAGTATTGTCAGACTCAGTAAAGCAAAGGAGCTGAGTGTTAGTAGGAGATGGAGAATTGCTGTCAAGCATTTCATTGGTAGGTCTTTGGTGATAGTAATGAAGTGTCAGCAGCTTGTTTGTATGTGAGAGCATCTAAATATTCTTAATGTTTCATTGTGTGTCTAATTTTGAAATGGATCTGTGTTGTGCAGTCCCTTTATCGTGTGTATCTTTCCATGTCAAAAACAAGTTTTAGTATATTTTAAAATGAATACTATATTTAACAGTAAACTGTACAGATTGTTTAGGGTCTCCACTGAGCAGTGTTACTTGTGGGATTGCCTCTGAACCAAGGTTAAATATTTTTGAGTTTGCAAAAAGTAAACTTGGTTCGATATATGCATGTGTGAAATTCAGATCAGTCTCTGGGTTGTTGCAATATTGCTTCATTTTTTTTTTTCCACAGAAGTATTCATATGCTGCAGTTCGCTGATGCTGCTGTATAAACATACTCTTCCTTTAAAACAACAAGATTAAGCAGAGTTAGATTCTTTGCTGTCGTATTGCCATCACAACAGCAACAAAAATTCTTAACTATTGAAATATATTTTTGATAGACAAACGTGAAATGTTTTTCAGAGTAGAAGGAGGGAATACATTTCTGTCTCAAGTCTTGAAGAGATTGCTATGAAAGACCAGAGTTTTGCAGGGATGCTATATAGGTGGTTGTTTCTGTTAAGAGAAAGTTTTGCTATTATAAACATGTGGGTTTTGGGGTTTTTTACCTATAGATAAAAATGAAGGTATATATTCACTTTTAAGAAGTTTAGGCTCAACTGTATGTATTTGCATTTTCAGGATCCAAACTCTTCTGTGTTTATGGATGCCATTTTATAATTGTAACTTAAAAATTATTCCTTTAGGAAGTTCTCCTCAGTGGATGCAAGTTAAAGATGATGGATTTCCTGTCAGAGGCTGTGAAGACATCTTGGTAGTTGGACTGGCAGTATGTTGGGGTGGAAAAGATGCATACTATATCTCTTTGCAGCAGATACAAGATCAGACTGGTAAGTGAGTGGACAGGCTGTGCTGTGTTGCATGACACTGCATTTCAGGAAAGTGTTTCACTTCAGCAGATAGGTTCTTGGAAGTGTTTTGAGTGTTCCAAACCCAGCTCAGCTGGTGATGGAGTGATTTAGCCATGTTATTCTGCAGTCTTAAGTGCTGAACACCCTTGAACATGTTGCTGTGGATACTTCTATGCTGCTATATAATAAGGCCAGGTAATTGGCTCAAGCACTGAGCATGCGTATGGCTAAAATGTTAGTTTACTCCTATGTTCTCTTTAGCTTACTTGCTTTTCTCTTTTAGCTTCTTCCAATTTTTGCTCTACAGAACAAATCTGTCACTTGAATGTTGAATGTAACCTAATCTGTCCTACATGGGCTAATGGCTAGGGTTTGATTCCTGGCTCTCCTTTGTTTAGTAGTACAGACACAGCATATTCCTTTTGGGAACCTTGTCTGGTTTGATAAAATATATAATATTGGTATAGATTTATTGTTATTTGTTCACAGTCCAACTGTAGTTTTTGTACGATAGGTGATTGCATTCAAGATTTTTCTCTTGCCTTTCTTATCACACAGTGGGTAAAACAATATTTTTGCTTGTATTTCCTGCCTTAGAAATCAGTATGAGTTTGGCACCGCCACCTTTGGACAAAAACCTATCTGTGACAGAGAGATTGTGTCATCTGCAGCTGTACCTGCAGAAGAAGCCCAAGCAGGAGCGCTCACTTGTCATGTATGACTTCATTCAGCACTACAAGACTCTGGTGATGGCTTGTGGCATCTCCTTGGAAGGAAGTTTTGAGGACCCAAAGGTTTGCAGGATTAAAAAATTTAGCTTGGGTAAAACTACTAATTTAAACACACCGGTGCAAACACAGGAGTACCTTCTGGTACTTTCATTCTGTTATTTAGATTTGAATATGCAGGGATTTAGTGAAATTTTCTTTCAGTGGGAAATCTAGAACAGTATTTAGAGGAGACTTCTTTTGCTATGTGCGTTGATGGTGCCTGCAAGAGAAACAGAACAGGTTCAGTGATAGGTTAACACATTCATCATTCATGTCTGATTGCTTGGGTGGGGAGAATGAGTTTAAATCTTGCCCTTGTCCCAGTGGACACAGCTGAACTCTTGTTTTGTTGCTATAAGAAGCTTGGGACTAAAATGGCAGAAGTGCTTCTAGTCAGATTATTGATTCTGAGAGCAGAAAACTTTGTAAGCAAAAGATTTACCCACTATGTGTATGGACCACCTTGCTACCACTATTTTCTCAAAACAAAGTTTACATGTAATTTCAAGAGGTTCTGGTACCATCTGTAACTCACATGAAATACTGGAAAGAGGTAAAAACACCTTCTTGTGCTTGTTAGGAAAAGCTCTAAATGCATAGAAATTTCTGGTGTTGATTTTTAAAGCTTGCATCGTACATGGGCTGAATAGCATCATGGCAATATTAAAGTCTGCAGGTAAGTAGCTAAGGTGTTCAACACAAGGACAAATTTAGCTTTTCATACCAATACATAGTTTTAGGATAAAATTAAACCCCGATAAAAGTAGCATCTTTCCCTGCACTGTTCCATGTATTAAATGGAGTCATACTCATCTTTGTTTATTTTAGTCATGCAATGAATATATACAGACACCCCCCACCCCCCCATATATATACATGTGGTTTTTACCTTCTGCTTGCATGGCAGAGACAATGCAGAAACCTATGTTTCATCCTATTTTGACACAAGAAATTGAAATATAGCTATAAGTGAAATTGCTTTGAAGGCAGTGGGAGGTATGAGGCTTACTGAGAATAAAATTTGCCTTGCAGAATTCTTGGTACTAGTGCTGATGTGCAAAAAATAGGAGAGCTCAGCTTGACTAATATTCTAGATCAATAGCAAGTTCTGATTTTTACAAAGTCAGTTTTCAGATTAAACAAGTTTTGATCCTGATTTTCATATTTAACCCCCTTTGTGTTAGGTTTTAATAGATGAAAAACCCTGAGGACAGCGCTTTGAGATGTGTTTAGTTGACAAAGGGTAAGGTTTTCAAATATACAGAATTAACTTGGAGTGAGAATGAAACTTCTCAGTGACTTATGCCTTCTTGAAGGTTTTACCTGAAATCATGTAACTTTTCCACAAATTATTCCAGTCTGCCTACCAAATCAAGAAAAATAATCTGCACTATAACCTTGCATTAACCTCCAGTTAAATATTCATGTTGTATTACCACTAAAACGGAAGAAAGGTCTCACAGAGATCTCCCTTTTTAAGGTTGCATGTTGGCTGCTTGATTCTGGCTCTAAGGAACGTACACTTCACAACATGGTGACTAACTTTCTCCCCACCGAGCTACCTCTACTGGAAGGGGTAGGCACCGGCCAAGGGGTGCAGAGCCTGGGGCTTAGTGCCAGCGGAGATCGTTCTGGGCGGTACAGAGCAGCAATAGAGTCTGTGCTTATCTTCAATGTCATGAACCAACTCAGTAATGAATTACAGAGGGAAAATCTGACAGGTAAAGAGAGCTCCTCCACTTGAGGGCAAAGAGGGAGGGTAAAGGTAGTTGTGCTACCACAGGCTGAATGATCACTGGAGCAGACAGGAGATTTGGAAGTTCTTATCTAAGTATATTCTGTAGCAAAATGTTTATTGGTTAAAAGAAAAGAGGGAAATTCCCTTGGAAGTACATCTGTTTTGTCAAAAAAATTATATTTAAAATTAAAATACAATTTTTATATCCCAAATATCCACCAGTTCCACTGGTTAAGGCAATAGCAGATTCTAATTTAAGTCTCTGAATCAAGCAGATCTCTACCTCCCAGGTGAGTCCCCTGGCTGTTCTGAGGGGACTTGTGGGTCTGCCTATGGTTTCTCATGAACATTTTCAAATGCTTTTGCATTTCCTTGTCAGAAGCAATTCCTAAAACCCTCAACTGTTTTCTGAAGGAGATTTCTTGCTCCTTGGCCTGCCCGTATAGCATTGTTTGACATGTATGTGTTGTGTCCATGAAACTTTTGTGACCCCATAGTGAATGATCCAGTATGTTTGCACTAATATTTGCTGAATGCTTGCCTCTGTTTAAAAACAAGCGAACAAAAAAAAACCCTCAAAAGCACCTACCTGTTGGTGGGCTTCATGATCGTTTCCTCTAAATTGTATCCAAAGCTTAAGATTAGGGTCCAGTCTCACTGAAGTCTTTTACTGCAAGTTTACCACATCATTTATGTTTGTAATAACCAAACCTTAGCACGTTTTCAAAAGATGTGGGTGGTGGAATGAAAGTGTATCAAGTTAGAAAGCTTTACATTAAGCATGTCTGTGGTTCGTAAAATGTTGATATACAAAGAGATGTGTATTTCTCAGAAAAAAAAAAAAACTTTGACAGAAGTTGTTATTCTTTTGAATACTTTTGTGATAAAAAGTTCTGGAATACTACTTATTATGAAATATTTACTATGAAATATTCCAGAAACAAAAGTATTTAAACTAAATCTATATTAAAAGATTTCAGTGTGTCAGGACATTCAGGATTTTAAAAACTGAGGATTCCCCAGGGTTTTTTTTTAATCAATCTGTTGATCTGCAGCTGATCTGTTTTTGATGTTATAAAAGTTTTTCTTGGGGTTTGTACTTACTACAGATGTATTTTCTAAAGTGGAGATGCCCACCCATTATTGCTTGGCTCTGCTGGAGCTAAACGGCATTGGCTTTAGCACAACAGCATACGAAACCCAGAAACAAGTCATGCAAGCTAAACTAAGTGAGATTGAGACCAAGGCATATCAGCTGGCAGGCCACAGCTTCTCCTTGACGAGCCCTGATGACATTGCAGAGGTATGTGAGGGTTAGGGTGGGAGGGGGAGAACTTTCTCAGACGATACCCTCAAGAGGCTTTTGCTTAGACTTAAGAAAAAACCTTCTTGGGTAGACTGCATATGAAGAAAAGACAAAACACAAACTGATGTCTCCTCAGAGTTGATTTGTCTTTACACTCATTATGAACTTGCTGCCTGCAAGGTGCTGTGCGTCTCCTGCTTGTTATTGATCATTCTGTTTTCTGCTAATTTTAGTAGAAATAAGCAAGATAGAAGTGGAAATAAGCGTGCTGGAAATAAAAACCAACTGGAAATAAGCATGTTGTTTGTATAGACCATGGCTTCTCCTGGCACACAAGATGATCTGCCAATTAAATGGCTTCTGGAGTATTTTGGATGAATGGTGTGGGACTAGAGAAGCTTTTTTTTGCAATACCAGTATTCTACACATGAGATGTGATGTGATACCATGTAGTCTGAGTCTAAGAATAGTTGTACTGAGCAAGTTGTATTGTTACCCTTGTCCCTATAGAGGCATAAAAGAAGAGGAAAGACTGCTTTAAAAATTTTGAATTAACTATGGTCTGTTTTTAAGAACCTGTTCTATAGAACTGATTCTTTTTTTTAAAGCCTAAGAAACAGATTTCTATGTAAATTAGCAATACTTTTATTCCTGAAGAACTTTGCTATGTATTTTTTAATGTATGTTACATGGAATCATAGGAATAGATTATAATTGCTGTGCATGCTTTTTTCCCCCATTTATTTCCTTTCTATATACTAATTTCTTGCTGAGGGGCTATACTTTATGTGGAAATAGTCAAAATTTGCAAGCAGCCATCACTAAAAGAAGTTCCACAGAAATATTCCTCCTTTGTTGCAAATGCAGAACCTTTGCTCCATAACAGTAGTCTGAGTTAGAACTCCTGAAATAACGCTTGGCTCCATTTTCACTCTGCTTCATGGAAAAGGGGAAGGAAAGTTTTTTCTGAAATGCTGTTCTCTGAACTACAGAAGCTTGTTTCTCATGTGGAAATTTTGTTAGGAATCATGTAAAGTATCTTGTATAGGTTAGTAAAGCTTTACCCTTCTAGTTTTGTGTCAGTAAAACTTTTGTGCTACAAAAACATGCGAGAGAAAAACTTCTATGTCCTTCCGCCAGCTGTGAAGTGAAACACAATAGCTGCTAAATAGTGTATAATGCTACATAGAAACATAGAATGAAAAATGAAGAACTGAGTTCTGTCTCTCAACAAGTAAGCATATATTTAATTTTCCAGTTCTTGGCAATTTTTTAGAAAAACTAATATTCTGGCTATTTTATAAAAGGTATTTGTGACTGCCGCCTCCTCTTATGCCATTCACGTTTCTCTGAAGCCTGCTCCCTGCTAACACTTCTTTTTTTTCACCAATGTTCTTCCCACCTTTAGTCATCTTAATTCCACGTTTTATTACAGTTGACTGTCAGCAGTAACTTCACTTACTGGATGGACTTAATTAACTTTTCTAAAAACATATCTTTGAATTCAAACTTAGTGTTCAGAAAATGAGATTTTAGATTGCATTTTGTAGTTAATTAAAATACGGAGGAATGACTTTGAGAGCAGAGATCTTTAAATCAGCTTTTTAATTACCTGAAGCATTCGTACTATCCTTTAGTTGGAACAAGCTGTTTAAGTGCTGAGTTCCTTTTTGTTTTCTCTTGGGAGTAGCATGCAGAAACTGATTTGAAATGCTGGCCTTTTTCAGGTTTTGTTCCTGGAGCTGAAGTTGCCACAAAATGGAGATGTGAAAGTTCAAGGGAGCAAGAAAACTCTGGGTTACACCAGAAGAGCAACTGCTAAACAAAACGGGGTTAGGCTGAGCAAGCAGTTCAGTACAACCAAGGTACAGTAAAGTCTGGTTCTAATCTGAAAGTGACTGTAAAAATAACTCCCTCTTCACACATCTGCTGCTTGGTTACATTGGAGTTAGGTATGCTACCTTAAATGAAAGTAAATTTTAATTGCCTTTTTGTTCCTCCAGTTACCACTGGAAATTCAAACGGGATTCTGCCTTCTCTGTTAGCAGAGTTATTAACTCCTCCTACTCTCCTAAAGCCTGAGTGTAGTGAGGACATGACTATAAATAGCAGACTTCAATAAGAATAAATCAGGCAGAATTTGATTTCCCAAACCACCTGTAAGACCAAATTAGCACCATAATTTTGTAAAGCCAATAGTAGAACAGTTTTTCAATATCAGCTTGAAAGATACTTAAATACCATGATGATTAAATACAATATCTTCCCTGCCTGATACTACCATATCTGTGTGTTGTGCTTCAGAGAATTTGTCTTCAGAATAGCTGATCTGATGGCTTGTCAAATTTAGTATATCAAAAACTTCTATATGTGTGAAGGCTATTGACATGCTTGCCAGCTGATAAGTATTGTGGAGCTGCATTAATACCAACTGCTGCAGGCTAATGGGTGCTCTTGCCAGACAAGTGATATTAGCAGATATACATGTTCCTTGCTTTCAGGACTCATTAATCTGTGTTGTTTTCTTAGTTTCTCCTTGTTCAGTATAGTCAGTGCTTGGAAGACAAGTATTGATTTCCAAAACTCAAGTGGCAGTGAAAAAGTGAGTGCGGTTGTGGTTGGCAGAGCAGGGAGCAAGAAGCAAAGTGAGGATTTCCTCCTTTTGTGATGTGGAGGGATGAGGCTGCAGCTGCCTGCTGCATATAAAAAAATGTTATTTTGAGAAATGTTTGCATGCCACTGTCTTTTGAAATTCTTGTTAGTCCCTTCTAATTTCTGATTTAAATGAAAGGATTTGATTGCTAGTGATCAGCTTTGTCTTTCAAGGAGCATGGTCAAGGGCTTCATTTTATGTGTTCCTAGTGTACGGATAGGAGAGAGCAGGGAGAAAAATATGCAAGAAGACGGAGGAGGAGCATTAACGCTGGGCCAGAGGAGACAACGTAGGGGACCTATGGCAAGTGATGCTTTATTTGATCATTTCAGGTGATTTATTGGTTGGTGCAGACTAAGAGTGGTGATGAGGTTGCAAAAGTCCAAAGGGAAGTGAGTGCCTTCTTGTGTGTAATAAAATTGCGGTTGTGTCTCATGGTGCTTTGATTGCCCAGGTGTAGGCGGTGTAAATGGAGGTGATATCCATTTAATTTTAAGGCAGTGAGACTGGAAGCTCACTGTGGGTGAAGGAGTTGCTTTTTCCTGCAGAACTGCAAAAACTTTAATTATAAAGCTTTAAAGGCAGTTATTATAGTTGTGCCTTTTTCTCCCCACAAGGATGTTTTGGAGAAATTAAAGACACTTCACCCATTGCCAGGGCTGATATTGGAATGGAGGAGGATCAACAATGCCATTACTAAAGTGGTGTTTCCACTACAGAGGGAAAAGCGATTGAATTCTGCACTGGGAATGGAAAGGATATATCCACTCTCACAGACTCACACAGCTACAGGTAAAGAAATGCGTGCAAAATCCTCACTTCTTACTGATTTTTTTTTTTTTTTTTTTTTTGGGGGGGGGGGGGCGCAGCTTTTCTATAGGGAAAAGTAAGGAAATCAAGCCTGTGCTCTACTTCAAATGAAAATACTGAAATACTTATTTCACAAGAATCTGCTCTAAAAGTCTAGATGTCTTAAAATAGCTTTTGTGTTTACCAAGTAGTATTATTAATTTCTTGCACATATTAGCATGTAAATCTCTGACCCCGGAACAGGTTCTGGATTTGGGAGTTTCTTATCAGTGAAACAGAAATGCTGCAGGGGAACCATCTTGAGCCCATTATACCTAAATATTTTTTTTTTCTTCAATTTTCTCAATGGTTGTGTGTTGTCCTGCCCTCCTGCCCCTTGTTTTTTGGAGGTGCAGATGTGTGTTCAGCTGTGTGAAGTTAGAGAGACTCCTTTTGGACCCTGACTTTGTTCTGCTTTGTCTTCCTTCTCAGGTCGAATAACCTTCATAGAACCAAATATCCAGAACGTGCCAAGAGATTTTGAGATTGAAATGCCAACTGTGGTTGAAGAAAGCCCACCCTCCAGAGCCCGTGGAAATGTTAATTCTCATGCTGTTTCTGGGGGCAGGTAGGAGGATCTTGGCAAAGCTTCTGCCTACTCTTCTAATCTTAATGTGGTCGAGTTGTCAAATTTCTCTTTTTCTGACTTCACCTGTGGCTGCTGTCATGTCAGTGTGACTTGTTAGTCAGTATTTCTCTTACAGTTTCAGGGGAATAAATACCTAAAGATCAGTGACACGTGAAAGACCTAATAATACTAACAGCATGTGACTCCATGTAGCCACTTGCTTTTTGAAATTCTTTATGAAACCCTACAGTGAGATTAGCATTATGCTCCCAACTGTTGGATGGAAAGCCTGAGTGTTAAAAGTAACTAAATTGAAGTTAGGATCTGGTCTGACGTTCTAAGAGCTACTCTGAAAGAGGCGAGGTTATTATGGAAGAAGCAGAAGAAAGTTCAACTGGTTTATGCTGTGCAGCTCCCTGTGTAAGGGAACATGGGTGAATATATTTTTCATTCTTTGTTAATAGTTTCACTTGTGATAATGATCCTGCAAAATCTACCAGGTAACAGAAAAAGATTTCTAAATCTGGTTTCTGTTAACCAAACAGCCTATTTTGACAGTATTACATGCCAGTGCCTAAACAGTTGTGCGCAAGTCTAGTGAAATATCAAGGTGGATCTTTTAGCAGATAGCTCGTGAGCTTTGGGCCTTCATACTCGGTGGTGGTTTTCTATCCTTTCAGTTTCTCTTTCCATTCAGGTTCTTGTCCCACATGGGTCACCTGAGTGACTTTTATCATCTTTTTTTCCCCTAGCAAGATGTGAGAAATTTGGAAGTTTTTGGCTCTTCTGTTTGTCGTCTTTTACCACCATGTGTCTAACATCCTTGTGCCCTGAGTAGCACGGTAAGAGAGCCCAGGAGCAGCAGGATCTTGTCCATGTGTCTTCAGAAGAACCAGGCCTAGCCATGGAGGCAGAAATGTTCTGAGAATGGCTCTGGCAGTGCTCAGGCTTGCAGCAGCTTTGCAGGATGGTTGGAGAGTGGGCTGCATTCTTAGAGTCTTCCCTGTAGCGAAGCAGCCCATCAAAGGAACGGAGTGCTTGCTGAACTTGAGAGAGGTCTGCTTCTCAGGCTGACTTTTGGGACTACATTCCTTAGTTAAGCAGCCAGTGCGTTAGGAAGATGAGCAATCCCAAAGTCACAGAAATGACTGCTGGCACAAAAGAATGTCATGCAGCCTAAGTCTGACATGCCTTCCAAACTTTGGTCCAAACTGTCTTTTAACTTAGTAATTGCTGTTACTACTCCTTCCTCTTGTTGCAAGAAGCTTCTGACCAGAGGAGTGTAGCTAAATTAGATCATTGTATAAAGCCCTTACTCATTCAACTAAACTGGGAACCTGTGCTGGACAGTATGATTCTCTACAGTTCCCATATGTTGTCCCTGACCTTTATTTCTTTTGCAAACTTATTTCTGTGATTTTTGTGCTATCTTTCATCTCCTTGATCCCTACCATCCCTGAGATGACAAGGTGTAAGAAGAAAAGGGAGTGCATAAGGGAAGAGCGCATGATGTCTTTTCTGTGCTTTGCTGAAACTAGTCTTGATCTCAGAGATACCTTTTCATTCTGAAAAAGAAATTGCTCAGATCCCTGACTCAAACATCAAGGACTTATAAAGGCCTTTTGACTTCTAGTGAAGAACCCAACGGACTGGCAGGTAGACTGGTGCTGATGGGAGTAGGTGGTATGTATGGTGTCACAGCTGCGCACTGTTCAGTGGGGGCACTGATGGCTACAATTTCATCTGCAGCTACAAGTGTCTTGGTGGGACAGGAGAGCTAAGCAAGCCCTGAGATGTTGCAGAGCACCTGGGTGTCACTGTAAACTTCTGGCCACCTGGAAAAGAAAATCAAGTTGCTTTGGGGCCTTTTTTGCTCAGTCTTTAGAGAGGAAACGTGCAGTGTTTTACGAGCACGTCTTCTGCAACTTCTGCTCTGCTTTTACAGGCTTACTTGTGTGTGTGCGTGTGTGTGTGCAGAGTCATGAGGCTGATGTGGGGGAAATCTTTTCTGTCTCTGCTAGGTATGGGCTGGTGTAGGCATTCTGCATATGAGAATGATGTTGAGAGAAGACTTGGCACTCAAGGTGGGGTGTTGAGTTTTTAGTATTCCTGTAGGACTCCTGTGCTATCTTTCTGGAATGCACCCATCACAGATCTGGGGCCTTTCATCTTACCTGTTTTGGAGTGGAATTATCCAATGTACTAGGAAGATTTATCCCTAAATCTGTTCAGAGTCAGTAAATCCCTTCAGGTGTACGTATGGCCTCTGTCCAATTCCCCCATGGTCAAATTTAGGTATGGCTTGTCCAGAGGAGTGGAATAGAGGCTACGGTCTCACTTGTTTTCACTGATTCTTTGTGGCAAAAATGATTATGCATCTTTAAGTGTTTTAGAAATTGGTGAAGAACAGTTATTCTTTGTCTCCACAGGTGTAGAAAGCGTTCCAGCATTTTGCCTAATGGCCTACAGGCTGAGGCTGAAGACAGATCCCAAGAAAGAGGAATACCATTTTCTGTCAGCATGAGGCACGCTTTTGTTCCCTTCCCAGGTAATGCCCAGATCCTGCTCCGCAATTGTTGAGAATATAGTTAACAAAAAATCCTAGATCTGATGAAGAGTTAAGAATTGATGACAGTATATATCTGACTGAGCAACCTGCTTGGAAAACTAATGCAGTAGTTAGCATGCCCTCAAAATTATTCACAAGACTGTAAAGGAGAGAGTTTCAGTTGGGGAAATTATTCAAATGTTACAATTCAAATGTTCACACTTTCCTTTCCTCTTTAAGAATACCTGTTTTTTAAAGAGGTAGCTTAGGCAGCTCTTAATACACAAATTGCACTCTATCTAGTGTTCTTTCTATCCAAATATCAGTTCTCATATTGCCTGCCCTGGCTTAGTACAAGTCTGCTGGTCTGATCTCTGTGACGATCATTCCTATCAGGTGCTAGACTTTTACACAGACACCTGGAGAGATACTTTGTGTGTTTTTTATGGATTCCAGATGTAGGGGCTAGATGGAAAGCAGGCAGGCCTGGGCATTGGGGAAAAAGGCAAGAATTTTTCTGATAGAAATGGCTGTGGAAAACTTTCAGAGCAGAAGATGCAAGGACAGATTCAGTCCTTCTTGCTGGAATGTTGGTTGGAATGTTGTTGGAGTAATTTATGAAATAATGATGTTTGCTAACTTCTTGACTTCAGGTGGCTTAATCTTGGCTGCTGATTACTCTCAGCTTGAACTGAGGATCCTTGCTCATCTGTCTTGCGACTGTCGACTCATTCAAGCCTTGAACGGAGGTACTGATGTCTTTAAGAACATAGCAGCGGAATGGAAAATGATTGATCCTGAAGCCGTTGGAGATGGGACCAGGCAACAAGCTAAACAGGTAACTTTTAGGAGAAAAATTCAGCAGCAGCTTTCTGGGCAGGAAGGTTCAGTGTTCAAAAATCAGGGAGTCAATAGTACGGTTTTCTGTTGGGGTTCCGCCGTGGCTGTTCAGTAGTTGCTTTGTATGTCCTCCCACTCTCAATACGTTTCAGTTGGAGCTGTCTGGGTTTTGGGGGATGAGCGTGGAGAAAAGCGGCATGAATGGCTCGGACTCAGAGGTAGTCTCTCTTTTTGCATGCTCGCCCTTGTTCCCATACACTTGTCTTCCAGTGAATCACACTTTGTTTTGGTTCTGCTTTCTCTGCATGGTTCACCATATGGTTGCGGTTCTTCACACTGTCCTCTGGCAGATTTGCTATGGAATCATCTATGGAATAGGAGCAAAATCTTTAGGCGAGCAGATGGGGATTGATGAAAATGAAGCTGCCAATTACATTGAATCCTTCAAATCAAGATACACAGGTTCGGATATGGCTGGGAGCTGGGTGGTGGTTGTTTTTAATCCTTTCTCTCCATGTTCTTCAAATCCTAAATTTGTCTCAGCCCTCTACTACTCCTATCTCTTTTGAAAAAGCTTTTCATTTTGAAGAAGTCTAGTGCATGAACACAGCAGTTTGATACTCCATAATGTTTTACGGTACACTCTGGTTTTATTCATCTTTAGGATCTTGTTGTATGCTTATTATATTAATTATTTTGTTGTTTTTTTAATTAATTAATAAGCCCTGGGGATTAATGTTAAAGCTCTTAGCTTTCTGAAAAAGAAACACTCTCTTCCTTATAAAACACACAGCTTCAAAGGATATGCAATATAACTTTAGACCACACTTCTTATACATTTTAAATATAAGTACTTCTCTCTTCTGTTCTTGTTTTCTGCTTTCATTGAATTTTAAACTGTTTTGCATATAACCCTTACATTTTTATCCAGCTGCTCAGAGCAGCTCTCCCATGTTTTGTAAAAAGACACTGTTGCGTTTCTAAGCAGCATGTTAATTTTTAGGAAAGCTATAAAGGGAGTAGAGCTGCAATCAGAAAATGAATGGAGGGCAAATGGCATGAGAGACAGCTAGCTCTAATCGTAAAACTTGGAAATGAGCTGGAAAATTGTGTTCTGAAGATTCAGGGTTTGTTTCTTTAGGAGGCAGATGCTGAGAAATGGTGTCCTATTAAGAGTCTGTTTAGTCTTCAGTAATTTCTGGATAGTCTCTCCTTCATGACCCTTAGAAATGACTTCCTGGTTCCCCCCTCTCGGTACATGTGCATACATACAAACGCCGCAATGTACCTTATATTGTAACGTCACTTCTTATGAATTTTCACTTGTGTGTATTGCCAGGCTGACATGCTAAATTACATACCTAATGAATTGACTAATACTGTCAGTCTTGATCTTGAATAGCTCCTTTTACCTTTTATGTTTTGTAAACCTTGGAAAGAGACTGCCTGAAGTTAACTTTTTCCACTTTAGTCCAGTTATTACCTGAACTTGCAGTGAAAGGGACTCTTCCCTCTCTCACCTTTCTTTGACCTAAGTTTCTTTTTAACTCTCTTGGTGGATTCACTGCTTCCCTTGCAAAGTGCAGGTGGGTGAGTTTGTTTCATCCTAGAATCTGAAGTGACACAGTCTGAAGTTAGGCAGCCTGAGGCATCAAGGGCTCTGACTTCTGCTTTCAACTTACTCCTTTCCTACTACTTGTCTTTCCAGTGCTGGTCCAGGTCCTGACCTCTCCATTATCAATAATACATGTATGATCCTCTGTGCCTGGGCACTGTGCAGAATGGAATTCCTACCTCCTTGTGCACAGCCAGATATCCTGACACTATGCGCTCTCTTCCACCTCAAAAGTCTTAATAGGTTTCCCAGCAGAGCTGCGAATAGGCTGAATGAGCGATTGTGTGCCCTTGGCCACTGACAGGGTCTAGGAAATTTCAAGAATTACCTTTGTGCTGTTTGGGTGTCCCAGACCGCTTTCAGTGACCCCAGTGAGAAGTGAACATGGAACATCAGCTGTATTAGGGAAAACTTTTTCTTACCTTTCACAGGGATTCAGAAATTCTTGAGGGAGACGGTGAGGAGCTGCAGAAGAGATGGGTTTGTGCAGACCATCCTGGGGAGACGGAGATACCTGCCAGCTATCAAAGATCCAAATCCCTACAGTAAAGCTCATGTATGTTGAGTGCAGTACCTTTTTCCCTTTTTTCTTTCTGTTTGTTGTTGTTGTTTTTAAAGTACTAGATTTCTTCGCGTATCCGTATCTGCGGTTTTACAGGGTCTATGAGCCATCTTGGTCATGACCTTCCGCTTCTCACTTAGTTCATTCTTCCCTCAGTTGTTCTGTGAATAGCAGAGCTTTTGTCATGGTCTGCTTGACGTAAGTCTTCTGTGACTGGGTGTACAGCTGTCATCACTGTGCTAACCTCACTTCAGAACTCCCACATTGGAACCGGAATGAGTAATTTATTGAAATGGACATGATTTGTAAAGCCTCCACACAGTGATGTGCTTTAACTCTTCAGAATGAGTCGCTCCCACTCAGCAGTCTTTGTATGTTATATGCTATCAGCACTTGAACAGGAAAGGGCATTTAGGTCTTATATGTTTGAGTATTTGTTCCTTTTCTTATTGCCCCTCAAAGGAAAATTGCTCTAACTCGTTGAATAAATATTTAGTGAATATATGCCTTTGCACTGGCATTATTTTTTTTCAAGGTCGTTTTGGACACATCTATCATAGACTCTACTTCAGTAAGAGTGAATTGAGTCCCTGGGGAGATGTTGGTACATTTCTGTGGGGAGAAAGCATTATACTTCTCAGTAGGAAGCTGGATCGGGTTGTATGGAATTAAAGACTAGAGTGGAAGAAGGAGGAAGTGGGAGAGTTTGTACTATCAAGTAGTTGAAAGGGAAACAAGGAGACTCTCAAAAAACTTTTGAGATGATTTGACTGTTTAATCTGAAGGATACTTCAGGATGCACCTTTGTAGATGCACCTTCTGATCAACTTTGATTTATTTTTTAAAATCATATTAAAGACCAGTTAATGAATTATCTTCACTTTCATTTCAGCTTCCTCATAACTTTTGCACACATTTCAGCTCTAATCAAAGAGAGAAGAACCTTTGAATACAGTTTTCTTGTCCAAGGAGGGGATTAGTAGAGAGGTTGCTTGTGTGTGTGTGGGAAAAGTCATTGTGTCACAGTGTGGTCTTGTGGGTTTTTGCAGTCAGGGTTTGGTGTAGCAGACCAGATTATTAGTCCATGAAGTCCAGCTTCTTGCCTTTGGTTATCCATTCCTGATGGTTTTGAAGATAGGCAGAAGGTATTTGGATTAACTGTGAGATTTTTCTGCTCCTCATGAAACTGTTGTCAGGTGTATATGCTTCTCCCTCTTGTAGCTTGTGACTCTTGAGGTTATTACCCTTGATATTAATTAATTTTAAATTTGTGGAAATCCTGCTTTTCTTAGTCATCTGGAGAAATTTTCTGTTTGACGCTAGTCTTTAATGTCTCTCTCTTTCAGGCAGATATAACAAACTCTTTATCTGGCGGTTTTACTATGCTTGTATTTGGCCATGTATTTGTCATTTTTAATGAAGTACATGTGGCATGCTGGATTTGATTTATTTTTTGGGGGTGAGTTTTGAGAACAACTATCTCTGTTTAGGCAGAGCGACAGGCTGTGAATACAACTGTTCAGGGATCTGCTGCAGACATTGTCAAAACAGCCACTGTGAACATTCAGAGGCGCCTGGAAACTTTCTCCTCTGTGATCAAGTCCCATGGACATCTGGAGAGCTGCTTCCAGAGAAATAAGACCGGTATGCTCACCTCTTCCTTGCACACTAGAGCAAAATTTTCAGTGTTACTAATGTAAAAGAAAAAAAAAAGGCCTGCAAAAAAGAGTTAGGGCCTTTGGACTAGGGGTGGGAGACATTTTGTTTCCTGACAGCAGTAAGTCTGTGTTTAATGGGCAGCAAAGTCATGAGGAAGGAGGGAGAATGTCTGCTCAACACACAAACTAAAGCAAATGCTGTGATTAGATCAGAAACCCCAACTGCCTCAAAGCAGATCTTGCAAAGGTTGACAGTGGGTGTTCATATATGATATTGTCTGTGATGCCACCACAGAATTGTTCAAAAGTAGGAAGGAGAAACTGAGCAGATACTCTGGCTTCAAAGGCAGTGAAAAGATAGAGTGGAACAACGTCTAGTTCCAAAAATACTTTTTTTTTTTTTTTTTTTTTTAGAATTAAGTCTAGAATTTGTTGACTGGAATTTGATGTACAGAGACTCCACAAGAATATTATATGAAACACTTATCAGCATAAATTTCTTCTGGCTGCAGATAGCAAAGCTGTGCTGGGGTACTCATTCCCAGAAGAGTGCTATGAAGATGACTTTTTTAGCATAATGTAGACACTGTTTTGTTCAGTCATATATTTTTAGAAAGACAACTTAAGGGATGGAGTGCTATCTTTCTTTGGCAGTTCATATGCTTCAGCCTGAAACATGAAGCTGTCTTAATATGAGGAGTTGATTTGTAGGACTGAGAAGGAAAACTAAATAATTAATTGCCAAACCTCTAAAAATATGCCAGGGAGTTTTATTTTAGAGAGACAAGATTCAGAAGTCTGCTATAAGTGGAAGGCATGTGCCTAGCAGAGCTTCCCACCCCTTCCAGGAGCAGCAGCAACTGACCTTCGGCCAACATAACTGTAGGAAGGCGAGTAGATGCATTTGTGACAATTTTTCCTCCTCTGATATAAGCTGTTTCAAGAACTGGGAAGAATTCTCTTTCAGCAAGTTACAAATGCCCGTAGCACAGAGATGCATCCTGCATCGTGTAGCTTCTTTAATACTGCTGCTTCAGTGTGAGACTTGTGTGAGGAACTGATGATGCTGTGAAACCCTTCCTGTAGTTGAGAACTGGAGTCCTCCTGTTAGCTGACCTGAGAAATAAATAACTTTTGAGTTTGTGTGTGTGAGGTTGTGTTTGTTTATTTTTTTTAAAAAAGCTTTTACCATGGAACTATTTGTTCTGTTTTATTTTTGTCAGGCAAGGCCTACCAGGATCCTGTTTTTGTCAGCTGCTTACTTGTTTATTCAAAAACTGCTCTTTTTTTCTTTCCTGTTTTTAATCAGGAGTAGTAGCTACAGTTTCAGATAACTGCATTTGGGAGGAGGCTTACTGCTTTTTTAGACTAGCCATTAAAATAATTTTGGAAGAAAAGCAGAATTCTAATTCATTGCCAGAGAGAATGTTGCAAACCAACTTCTGATTAAACTTGACATGATTTTATTTAAAATTTACTTTTAAAACAGATGGTTCAGGAGATGCAACTGTCTCTTGTTTCTGTTCTGATTCATATCTTTATAATGTAAGGCTGAAATGTTTATATCTAAAATGCTTTTCATTAATGTTTTTCCCTCAGTAGCTGTACAAATATTGATAGAATAGTAATGTTTTGTGGTTTTATCTGTAGACATGGGCTTTTTCATTTTAAAGTTCCTCATGTTCTTTTTCTCAGCATGAGGAACGTGCAAGGGTTTTTTGATACAAGAAACATGCCTTTGCATAATGGTATCTAACGAACTGTGCTCTTCCCCTGTGTAGGAAGGCTGGTGAGGAAGAGAAATGGAGGGATGTTACATCCATCAATCAGCGGAGGTTTCTTCATCCTCCAACTCCACGATGAGCTCCTCTATGAAGTTGCAGAGGATGATGTCATCCAGGTACGGCCGTGCAGTTGCTTTTTCAGCTACCTCCTGCATTTACGATGTTTCAAACAAGCCTTCCTTCTAGGGGCTCAGGTTCTGTTCCCTGGATCCTCTCTTGCTGTGCGCTAAAAGGTCTGTGAAGATGATGTTAAGTTGGCTGAAAAATGATGTTTATATTCTTGATCCCTTTATTTTCATGCTCAAGTTCATTTTTCCAACATATACTTTGCTGCTTTAGCAGCATATATAACAGTAGTTCATACAACTTCTCTGCAAGACTTGATGAGTGAAGTAACTTAATACTGTTGACAGGTGTAGGGGGAAGTTTTTCGCCGTTTGGAGGTGTTTTTGTCTCCTTGTTTACACTCGTGTCTTCTGGTGCTTAACTTGGAATATGTACTGTTACAGCTGTGGTTTGTACTCTGTGTAGGGAAAGGAGGAGTCTTTGCTTTTGGTACTTGTTTCCTCATTCCCTACCTACCTGTCTTTCTGGTAGGGGTGTTATGGTGCTGATTAGCAGCACGGTAGATACAAGAAACGTGCTGTGTGGACTTCGGGTACCTTTCATGTGCATGTGTGTCTCTGTGTGTGCTCTTCCACCATGTAGATGCTCCTGTGCCTGGGCGGGGTGGTGTCTGTGTGACAGCTTTCAGTAGCGTTTTAGCTGTATGTTGGCAGCTCAGTGTTCTCCCAAGTCCTGAGCACAAATGCAGGAAGGCTCCCAGGGTGGGCTTCCAGAGCTTGGGGATGTCTTTCTCCCACTTCTGTTCTGTGCATACATGTCTTTAATGACAAAAGGCCATTTCATTATGGCAAGCAGTAACTCCTTGTCTGAGAGACCTTTCAGTAGTACTGACTGGCCTGAGCATGGTTTTTTTTTTTTAATTTCATTAAGAACAAAAGGTTTAATATTTTTTTCTTGAATGTCAGCTCACGCTTCTGTTCCTTTTGCTAGCTCTGTTCAGACATCTGCTGCTTCAATCCAGGCAGGCTGTTTTAGAGATGAAAAGGCTCCTAATTTTCTTTCTGTAGAAAACTGAAATCCCCTGAGTATAGGCATTTACGTCTTTAGGTACTGGCTCCAAGTTATCACAGTGTCCCCAGAAGAACTGGGGCCAAGTGAGTGGATTTCCTTGTTATTTTTTGTATTATATTTTTTCATTAACCACCTCAACTTCAAGGGTAATTATTACTAGCTTTTCCAACTTCCTTCAGATATATTTCTGTCCACAGATTTTCTGGGCAGTCCCTTAAAACAGCATATGTACACAAGGCATATTTCCTAGACTCAGACTTTCCTTGTGTGTGTGCCAGATTTGCTTGTTTTTCAAGGATTTCTGTCGAGCTGAGACAACAGAGTACTTCTTACCCCTTTGATTCATTGTTTTTAGGGCCAGAAAGAATCTTTTTTTGATAATATTGTTTGCTGTGCTTTAGATGCACCATTAGAATTATCCTATAGTGGAAAGAGCTAAGTTGGAAAGGATCTATTGAAGTATCTCCCTCTTAAGCCCCCACTTAAAGTAGGGCCTGAATTAATTGGTCCTTTTGAACTACAATATACCTCTTAGTAAAAAAGAAGTGAGCATTTCTTGGTTTCTGTATTTGTGAGGTTTTTTCATCTTGCTGGCACTAAAGCTTTATTATACTGTAAATCATGTATTTCTCAGCTGCAACAGCAATTTTTATGCGGAGAAGTTAGTTTGGTCACAGGCTCGATGCTGGCTCTAGCTTATTTTCGGCTGCCAAAGTGCATAAAAGAAAACTAAAAATATCTTTCCATATATCTAGGAATTTGTGTTCCAGTCAGAGTATCCTGACAAATGGTTTGTAAGAGAAACAACTCTAGTGATCATTCTGTTTTCATTTGCAGTCTATCAGTGAGCTAGCTTGCTTCTTTTTAAAAGACCACATTGGGGTAATACCTGTTTTTTCTTGTGCTGAAGGTGTGAAATGCCTGGGGCATCAGGGCTTTCCTAGTCTGTGCAGAATGTCAAAGTGAAGGTAGCGAGCTTTCAGAGCTTATCACAATAGCAAGACTATGATAATATTGCCAAGGATGGTAGAAGGAGGCTTGACCTTCTATCTGTTGAGCTGACCCTGGCAAAGAGGAATCAGGTAGGAACATAAAGGTATGGACTAGATTCGGAATCAAAGGCTAGATGCTTTTAAACTGCTTGCTTGTTCCCAGCATCATTGCATTTATGTTTTCAAGATTGCCAGAATTCCTCCAAGTGTGCTTTAGCTGACCATTGAGAACTCTGGAAGCCATGCTGTTTGCTTAATGTACAGGAAATTCAGAGCCCAAAGCCACCAAGGTCAGGGCGTTGGTGCATGTCCTGTCTCATTCCATCAGCTTCCCCAGGAACCTCATGCAGGTTTTCGTGTCTCTCCTGCAGCCACCATCCCTTGTTCTAGGTGCAGCAGCCCTAATCTTGTGTTCCTTGCTGGTGGTGTGTGCTGGACCTGTGACCATTCTCAGAGAATCTCCCTCTGTATGGTTCGTGTTTCTTTTGAAATACTGGGCCCCAAACTTGATCAAGGCTGGAGTGGTTTGAATAGAGTGGAAGATTGATCTGTGTGTCACATAAGCAACATTTTCTGTGTTCCAGAATTACATTTGCTTTCTTTCTCACAACAGTATGCCTTGCTTAAAGCCCTGTTTGGTTTTTAATCTCTGATAACCCCATTTTTTTCCTTCCCAGGCAGTTATTTTTCATCCTATTTTTGAACAGTAGATTATCTCTATCCTAGTTCTCTACCCTGCTTCTTTCTACTCTGTATTTGTCTGTGGTGAATTACATCCCATTTCAAAGCATTTTTCTAGGTTATCAAGATCATTTTGAAATGTGGTATGTAAGGGCGTAGGGGTTTGGAAGACAAATCTTCCCCTAGTTCTTAATGCTGTGGTAAACTCTTGTGCTCTGATCTCCTCAAATCCCCTCCTTCATTCCCCAGTAAAAACTGGGGGAATTTCTATTGTGGGTACCTGTGAAGAAATTATGAGAACTCATGGAAGGGTCAGAAAGCTTGAATAGTTCCTGTGCTCACACAGTGGCCACTAGCTGAGATGAGGAATCACAATAATTTCAAAGCCTGTTTTCACTCTGCTGTGGAAAGGTTTGTGGGATGAGTGTGGACTGCAAGATTCATTCAAACAAGCAACGCAGGACAGGCTGGACTCTGTGTGGGTCTTGGGGTAGGAAGGAGAGTCCTTTTATGCAGGGCAGGTATTTACAGTCAGGAAAATAAAATCCAGTCTCTCACAATGCAAAAAGTTGCAGGCAAAAGTATCTTCTGGTGCCCTAACTGCATACTGAAATGAGTGTTTTCCTAGCAGTACTTTTGGAGGGCAGCAAGTGTTGGGAGTTGCCTCAACAAAATAGTGAGGGGGAACCTGAGCGGTATTTCTAGCACCTGTGTTGAATGTGATCTGCTTTCCCAGAGGTTTGTCGTTTGTGTTTCACAGAGTGCCTCTTGTGCCAAGACAATGAGGAGGAACACCATTCTTTGCCTCAGGTGTATTTGTTTTGTGTCTTGCTTTCAGTACATTGACATTTTCAGAACAGACTCCATGAAACACGATTATGTTGCTGGGTGAAAGGGGAGACTCGGCAGGACTCTCAAGTGTTTAATGGAAACTTAATCTTGCCTCTTTTTTAAGTAGTCTTAAACAGTGTGGAACCAGTCACAACTCTCTGCTGCATAAAGTGTTACTGGCTTTATACAGTTTCTCCATTCATAAACCCTAATTAGGATTAAACTGGTTGCATTTCTGTCAGTGGTAAGTCAGTGCAAATAAACACAGGAGAGGAATCCGGCTGTCCGGCCACCCCAGCTATTGACAGAAAAACAGAGCACTGAAGTTAGGTGTACATCTGATGTTTAGCGTTTCCTTCTAGGTCGCTCAGATTGTCAAGCACGAGATGGAAAACGCCATGAAACTGTCGGTAAAACTGAATGTTAAAGTGAAAATTGGACCTAGCTGGGGAGACCTGCAGGACCTGGAGCTCTGACATGAAATGCAGCTTTCCCGTGTGTGTGGCGAGGCGGAAGGCACCACGGACTGGGCAGGGCACGGGCCTGTGACAGACCTGTGCGCGGTGCGATCCTCCTGTATCGTGTTTCTACTGCCTTCTGAAATGAGTGGCGGAAGCTGGTATGAATTCACCAAGCCAAACCCTTCGAAGGTCAGATGGCACAGTGAAGCATGTTTACAGAACTGTGAAATTATTGATTGCTAAAAGCACAGTATTTAAATGAATTCTGTTAAAATATGCTTCATCTTGTAATTTAAAACAAAACCCTGAAGCCTAATGAATTTATTACATACGAAATAAGCTGGAATATTGTATTAAAACAAGGCACAAAGGTAATGTTGCAGTTCTTGTGTGTAATTGTGTCTAGGACAAAAAAAAGTCATTGTGTTTGCACTTAATGTTGAATTTTACAGGCCTCTGCTAGGATTGTTTTGTACTGAATTCTGCTGCTGATATTCAGGTGCCTTTCATGGAAAGCCAGGAAATGGCTTTACAGCTGGCTGGATTTCTCACTGAGCAGCTGTGCAGTGTTCACAGTGAGTGGAACCGGTGCTTGGTTGGCCTCTGATTTTTAGGAAAGCATTTTGGTGACTGACTGCTGTAATTCATCCTACTGCTAGCTTGCAAACTGGCCTTGAGAGGGATATTGTTTGGACTCTCTTACAGTTAACAATCACCAGCAAAAACATCCTTTTTTAAAGACTGAAACTCACTTGGTTAAAAACTTAATGGCAATTTGTATCTTTGTGAAGGAAAAGAAAGTATGTCAGTCAGCCAGCTGAAGTGACAGCCTTGCTGGTGTTTGAGCTCTCTGGTGTGTTAGAGAGGTGTTGCTGAACGCTGGTGGGTGATCTGTGGTTCTTCGTTCAGAGACCTGTCTCCTAGGGAAGCCTCATACCCTGCCTGTTGGTAGCCTCGCTAAAAACTGCTCAGATTTCCCTCACGTTTTGCCTCAGTGTCGGACTCCATCCCTGCAATCAGGCAGAAAGTTTTTCTGGGAGTTTGGGCTTGTCAAGCTGAGCTGGTCCCAAGGCTGACTCGGGTCAGCTGCTGGGATCAGATGTTTCAAAAGGGGAAGCAAGGAAGGAGCTCGCAGGGAATTAACCTGCCACTGTTTGGCGTTACTCTCCTCACTAATACCTTCTGGTCTGGCTAAACCTCACCTCATGTGGTTTTGTTTCCCTTCCAGACGGTTGCAATGGTTGTACAAGTTCAGCTGGTTTTGTTAACTTCATACAATGCCTGACCTTGAATTGTTATTTTCATCGTGTAGCCCTTGTGTGGTACAAGAAAGGGATGACAGGTGCCTCCTGTCACCACCTTTATGCCTCTATTTTATCAGGTCTTTCTTCTGCAGTTCCTCCCTTATGTAAGCAATCTCCATCTTTCCATTCTTGCCTCCTGTGAGAAATTTTCAAGCCCCTAATTATTCTTTCATTTCTGAACTTCTGCCAGATCCCTTTGAAGAAGTGTACTTTTGAAGTTGCCTTTATAGCCTGATCTGAGAGGATGCATACTTGGCTTTCAACAGCCCAATAGCGTGCTTGAGCTTGTTAACTTCAGATGCCGCGCTTTTGGCGTGGCCATTATCCTGACATCAGAAGTACCCGGCACCGAGGTTTCAAGAACATGGTGAGTTTTAAAAGATGTTAATGGGGCCTGCGTACAAAAGGCCGCATCCTGGACCCTGATCCGCCACCTGCCTGTTGGGCAGCAAAATGGACACGTGGTATTGAGTCAAAGCCCCGGGTGAGGATGCCTTGACTGCCCTTCTCAGCACTGACGGGGCCTGCTTTCCTGTTTTGTATTTCACTTTACACTGAGATTTTTTTGTTTCCTTCCTGCCTGCTCTATGCTGTGGTTTTCTACCACATCTGTCACCTGATGGCTGAGCTCTTTATCCACAGCATTCGGTTGGTAAGACAGTTGTTTCTTTTCTTAGCTTATTAAAGCTTTTATTATTAACAGATCTGAGCCTCAGCACCCTGGTGTCTGACCATTTGTGTGCTCTGCCTGTGAAGGTGCTGGGTTGAGCTCATTACCAATGCACAGGGCCTAATGATTTCCTGTCCCGGGGTGTCCTGCGGTGACACACCTGTGCTGTATTTCAGGCCTCACTGGAGCTGTGCTAATTTGAGTTGCTTGTTCTTCAGCACATTACAATATTTCCCCCCCCCACTTACTGTCTTTAGAATTTTGGAAGGACGGATCTCACGCGTAGTTCCCAACAAGCTCTCTAGACAGGGGTGATGCTAATCAATAAGGGGATTGACACAGAACTAAACTTATTTTGCTAAACAAACTCAGTGAGTTCATTTTAATTAAGCAGTAATTTAGAGCTGATGAGATGACAAAAGGTGGCCGCTGCTCTGTAAGCAAGGTGGCTGTGGTGTTTGAGTCATGATAGTAGAAGTGGCTCTGAGCTGTTGCCTGATTGCTGCTATTTATGTTCCTTAATTCTGATGAGACTTGAACCATTAGTGAGACTAAGCAGGGGAAGCAGAAGAGGGCTTAGGTCAGGTAAGCTTACAACAGTGCAGGAGAGGATACCTGTTATTTTATCAGGTTGGTAGAAGGAGGTTGGCTGCTTGTGTTACTCATTTTTTCCTGTGAGCCCCCCCCCCCCCCCCCCCCCCCCCCAATGGGCTGAGGCCTGTGTTTAGTTGGAAACCGGGCTTTTTTCTAGTTCAGGATCTGATAACTGGAGTGCAGCTTACTCTCTTCTTGTAGACAGGACGGGATGCATCTGATCGCGTTCGCTCCCTGTTCCTCAGCTGGTTTGTGCCTCTCTTTGCAGTCCGCTCCTGCCTCCTGTTAGCTGGCGCTGCCCAGCGTGTGCAGTAACACATGGGGACTGGCAAGCCCGAGAACATGACGGATGAAGGCTACGGAAGGGGTAGGAGTTCTGTTTCTTTTACAGCAGCCTTGTCCCTCCGTGTGTACGGAGTTGCTACTGCAGCCTAGTCCTGCCTTGCGCCCTGCGCTGCCCTTGCCTGGCTGCTGCACCAGCAGGTGGGTGTCTGTCTGCCAAAAGACATTGGGTTGGGACCCAGTCGTGACCTGCGGTCACCAGGAATGCCTTGTCTTCACCTCACGTGAACCTGCGTGACCTGGCGCCTCGCAGGGAGAGCCCGGCCCCTTGGGCTGTCGAGCAGCCTTGTTCTGTTTGGTTCATATCCACTTGTCGAAACGACTCAAATTTTGATTTGGCCTATTTACTACTGGTATAGGGCAGAACTTCTGTGGATGTGGTAGCAGGAACTCCTGCCACTGATGTTTGATACAGCTACTCAGTCCTTTGCCTTGCACGCAGACCGCAAGCTTGTTTTGCCTTGGTCTTTCTGCTGCAGGTTTCCTTTTGGTCCCTGCCTACTGCAAGTGCTCCTTGGGTGTTCTTGCAGCTGGGCAGTGGTGGGAGGGAGGCAGGTGACAAAACATGACACACACATAATCTGATCTGGTTTGGTCATATTGCCTTTCTCCTGTGCTACCTGTATTTCACTAAAAAGAGAGTTGTGGTGTTTTTTCCTCTAAATCCCTAGCTGAAAAGAGGGAGCTGGATGCTCAGCAGCTTTGGCTGACGTTTTTGCGCTTCTCCTGGCAGAACAACTCCATCGTGTTGTTGATAAGTGCCTTTCAATGAGCTCGCTTCTGCCCTTTTGAGAGTTCAGCTTGTAGGTGACTGCTTTTAGCCTGACATGGAAGTAAGTGAGTGATGTGCAGGCTGCCCTCAGCTGGCTGAGAAGCCCGGCTAATGCAGCTAATGTTCCTGGGGCTGGGATCGGGGTTATGAGCGTGACACCATGTGAGCTCCCTGCAGTAAAGCACAGGAACAGTAGCTGGGGTCTGGGTTTTGTCCCTGCGTGAGCTGCTGGAGGAAGGGAGGTGGCCGTCCCCACCCAGCGACAACCATGGCTGCATTTTCCGTATCCCTGGGGGTAGCGTTAACTTCACCCAAAGTCTTTACGTAAACCATGCACCTTTGAAATACTAAAAGAATCTAGGAGTAGAGGTTGGAAAAAAAAAAAAAAGAGATCAACACCAACTAATACCAATTCTTTATTTTCTTTCCCTCTTTTTTTTTGGTTGTTACTGGGGATTCAAAACAGCCTCAGTTAAAGATGCCTTAGTTTTCCTTTTGTGATGCCGATTTAGGATACCTGTGGAAACAGGACATGGTTAGCGCAGGCGTGTGTGGTTCACCCCAGATTAGCCTTCGTTCTGAGATACAGGTAATGACTCATTAACAAACCCCACACATATTCTGTCCACATTTCCTTGACATTGAATCTGAATATTGGTTGCTATTTAAAAAAGTACAATGTCTGATTTGTTGATTTAATCACAAAACAAAACACATGAATGGAAACACTCATTTACGTGACTATTGCTTATACACCTAAGATGACGAGTTGACTACAGATGGCCACACGTAGTTCCTTAATGAGAGAGAGTGTGTTCTTACTAAGACCAAACCAAGGCAAAAAAACATTCAAGACCAAAATACACTGTGCTTGAATTCACCTTTAGGTTATGGAAACAGATGTAGGGCAGGGTATCTAAGGGGTGCAATTAACTGAAATCCAGCTTTTTGCCTGTGTTACACTATGGGCAGTTTGTAAATGGAGGAGTCCTGAGGTTGAACACAGCTCTCATTTAAGCTGCAACATTTTCCTCACTTCTTAAATTGTAGACTGAAAAAAGTATTTTTGTATGCATACCTTCTTTGACGCCACAACGTGTGTGCTGTAATGGGCTTCTGTAAAAGGAACGTGTAAACTCTTTCAGAGAATTTCTGTATGTGATAATTTTATACACTATGTGTAGTAAATGGAGTATTTCTGTTTAAATATTTGTGTAACAAGCTATATTCTGGTAATATAGGGAATATCTAATTGATGTAAGTAATTGAACTCAAAAATTTAGAAAACAGGTAATTATACAAACCAAAAACTGATTCTCAAAGTTTCCTTTAT